GGCATGAGTCTCTCTTGCCTTTTCCAGTTACTTGACAGGTGCTAGAATTTCTATGCAATTTCTAACAGCTGTATGGACCACAGCCTCCTATCTCTTCTCCCTTTTGCAGTGGATATGTGAAGATGTGCTTGGAGCACAGGCAGGCTCATGCTTGGGCTGAAACCTGGGAACAGGGATTCCTCCCATTCTGCTGCCTTACACTGCTTGTTCCCCTCTGACACCTAACCTTTGCAGGGAGGGCAAAGCCCTAATGCATAATCAGGAGACAAAGAAGTCCACAGGAGCAGCTTTATTCTTACTTTTTTTATAAGGTTATTGAAGGAACAAATGCAATGTCCAAAAAAAGCAAAATCCCCCAGGAAATGCCAGGGCTGGTTGCTCCCCATGTCACTTTTAACAGTCTGCTTTGGATTTCAGGGGATGAATTTTCCTGGTCACAGCAAAAGTTGGGGGGCAGGCAGGATAAGGCTTTCTTCCTTACTGGAAGCACCAACTGGATCAGGTTGTAATGCTGAGCATATGATGGGGAGAAGAGTAAAATGCAGCTGTACTTGATGCAGCCTCGCTGCATCAGTCTGCTTTATGTTCAGTGGCAAATTTAGCAGAGAGGCTGAAAGCTGCACAAACTTTGCAAATTCAGCAGGAAGCTTTTGAGCATCACAACTGGCTGACAGACTGGCAGGCAGGACATCTTGTTTCTGAGTAAAAAGAAAGCTTTCTTCAGGGAGCTGTGTTTTTTTGCCATTGTTTATGAATGTGTTAATGGGCCTTTCTGATGCTGTGTAAGCTAATTTACAAATTGCATCAAGTTGGGTGAGAATTTGCCTGTAGCAGGATTTTACAGCCCCAAGTGCTGGCTGTTGAAAGTTCATTATCTCTAGTCTGAAGAAGAGCGTGAAAAGCCAGCCCTTTTCTTTCAGCTAATTCATTGACTTTAAGTACAATGCACCTCTCCAGTCTGTGTTTACTGCAGCAACTGAGACGAAACTGAGTGCAGTTTTGGACATCTCTGTTTATACAGTACACTTGTATAGGTTTTATAAAATTACATTATCATTATTTTAAGTAAATAAAAAAAAAATCAGTTTACCAGATGCAGAAATCACCATAATGGTGATACCTTAAAAGGTGTAAGTGGTATAAGTCTGGAAAACTTTTGTATAACTTTTCTTACGAGGAAAGCACACAGATCATGTAAGATGGTACAAACAAGATCTCTACTAAACAGCTGGGGGGACGGGGAGACAGGGCGGGAGAGATTTTGCAAAATAAAGGCCCTCTGAAGTTTAGTCTTTACATAAACACTGAAGTGTCAGGGTAATTGAGCTTCTAAGCTAGATCATTCCTCAGAAAACACCTTTCATCCTCACATACTTATAAATTAAGATACCTAACTGCTACTACTGTTTAGCTTAAACCAACAGAAACACTTTTGCATTTATTAGGAGCAAACCCAATAGTTTGAAGGGAAACCTACTTCATAGGAACAATGTATCCTCAATTGCTAAGCTGTATCTCCACGGTAAAATAATGGTAGGATTTCAGCAGTGCAGGCACATCCTTCCTAGCTGTGCTCTGGTTAGCACGTATTCTGACTGCCAGAGAGAGGATCAGTGAAGAATGGGCATGGTGGTCAGGGCTGGGCTGGGCTGTGCAGCAGCCTTTGCAGGCTGGTTTAGATGTGCCTGGGGCTACAGTGGATATTTGCTGGTACTGCTGGCCAGGCTAGATGGGGTCTTCCACTTGCAATCTTGTTTTATCTTCCTCTCTTAAGTGGGTGGTTCTCCATGGATGTGGTCACTGATGGGTTTGCAGCTTGTGATAAGATTTATAGATGTGTTGCTAATTGCAGGTTCCAATTGAGGCATTTCTCATAGGTGGGGTGTTCAGAGCAGCTCTCTTTGGTGGTTCCTCTTGTGTTTCTTGTAGTGTGTCACCCTTTAATCTTCTCCATGGCTCAGGTGCCACTAGAGTTACCCTCCTCGAAGCAGCTGCCTGCTGTAATAAGTTACACAGCCGGAATAGCTAAGGGTGCCCCATCATGGAAGGGTGCCTGATGGGACCAGGGGAGCTTACCTGTGCAGAGCCTCACTCAGGAGGCTTGGTTTTCTTGGCATATATGAAAATAGAAAATATTTATCTCCTCTGGTTATGGGGGGCTTTGCTACCCTTCTGTCACATTTGGCTAAAATTGTCCAGGAGGTTCACCAGTTGTGGAAAAGGAAAGGGAATTTGGGTGCACACAAGTCTCATTTCTCAAGAGAAACCCTCCTTCCCATCCAAATGACCTTAATTAATAGAGTAGTTTTCTTGAAGCCATGGCAGTTGTTTTGGCTGAGTGCTGTAAGTATAGTCTTGGAAATCATGATAATTAGATCTGACCATTAACCTCCCACAGAGCTGATTAGGGGCATGGGGGTGATGAGGAAGTTTTTTATTTTTCTTGGTGCTATTGTTTGAGTCTGTTTGCAGGGTAAACACAATGAGTGTGTCTGTTCATTATGCTGCAGACCAACTCTCAAGCCAGAGGAGACAAATACTTAGTTTTTAAACGTGAAAACCTGGGTTTTTACAGAAAATGTGCTCTGGGGAGATGTTGGGAAGGCTCCTTGTCTATGTACCTGTGGCTTTTCCAGCCATGCCAACTGTTTATTTAGTGAGTGGCTCTTCCTACAGTATTTATCTCCTCTAGTTTAGGTTTTCTTCAACACAATCATATACAGCACCTCTGAAAGACAGCACTCTCTTCATTGATTTAAGATTGTCTTGACTAAGTTAGAGCAGCAGAGATTGACTCCTTCCCTCCAGCATTTCTGCAGACAAGCACAGCCCAGGTCTTAAAATGTGTGGTTTTAAAGGGCATATCACAGTCCGTCTGTAGTGCTCATAACTCAGTTATGACTATTGCGTGGCTATGGGTGCTCTGAGTAACAAAAGACAGTTACTGATTGTAAGGGAAGATTGCTACAGGAAGGAGAGTGAGTGATATTTTGTGCCTTGCAATGGGTAGATGCCCATGGGTTTAACTGAAGGGGAGCTTTGTTGAGGAAAGGAGAATCCTTGCCTGGAATAATTGCCTCTGAGCCAGGGAGAACTGGCTACTCCAGAGTGGGAACAGGACCTCAGCTACCACTGGCACAAACAGTGGGGTTGTTGCAAATCTGATTTGAGTTGCTAACAATAAGGGGTTGAAAAGGCAAGCAGACCTAGCATTCTCTGTCTTCCCTTGAGCTCCCAATTTATGCTTCAGCTTCACCTGCTGAAGCAAACCTGGGACAGCACAAATGCATATGTGAAAACAAAAAGCATAAAAATCTGTAGAAGAGATGGCAGAAGGTCAAGCAGAAAGGTCTTTGGAAAAGAGAGGACTTTTCTAAAAATCCAGATATTTTTAGATGAAAGGAAAATGTAATCCGAACTGTAATTGTTGGCACTCTTTTGTGATACAAAGCTACAAAATGCTCTTCCCCCCACAGAGCTCATAAAACTGTGCTCTGTGTGCCAGAAGGATTATTTTGTTTTTCATTAAATAAAGAAACTTGTAAACAGCGCTCTGTACCATAGAGATGATAATCTCCACTGTCCCCCTCCTCTTCCTTAAACACAGCAGCACGCACTTTGCAGGTTGGGCTCAGGCAGCAGCAGAGCCCTGGGGTGAAGCCCCAGCCTCGTGGTCACTGCAGCTTGGGGGCCAGGCAAGACGTGCTCCCCATGTCCAAGAGCATTTACTGCATGTGTTCAGTTGTGCTTTTATCAAATCCTGTTTCTGAAATCAAATAAAATGCTCAGTTGGACAGTGTTTGAATGCCACTCTCTGAGCTACAGCAGCCATTCGTTGGGTTATGTCTGTGGAGCTGGCACTGCTGCAGGTAGGAGAGAGCAAAAAGAGGAGACTGAATAATGAAGAGTTTTTATGTGGAAGATGGCAAGAAATGTTTACGAAGATCACCAGGAATAGCTCCTAGTTTTGCCAGTTAAGTCAGTATGTTCAGGTATTCTGCCATCTTTGCAGCTTTCAAATGTAATGTGTTAAAAGTTGATCCTTGTAACTCGAGCCACAGTTCTTGACAGTACTGTTGCAACATACACCCCTCACTCCCTGTTACCCTGCCTAATCTGTTTGCCTACTGTCTTGTGTAATAGGAATGCAATTTTTTTTGTGTGTGTGTAGCTCTTTTATCCATAAGTTTATTGAACATTTTACAAAAAGCAGCTACTGTTGTCTTTATGCTTCCATTATACTGTAGATTTCAGCCATACCTGTGGTGCAGCAGCTTCGCTCGTGATATACTCAGGCACTGGTCAGTTTGTACCACATTCAGGCTGAAGGATACTGCTCTGCTGCAAATCCCACTTACTAATGATCTTGTATTGCCATGGGTCTTTAGCTAGATGTGGTGAGTGATAAAGTGTGAATTGATATGAAATATGGTGACTTCTGCTCCATCCACTGGACCTATTACTCATGTCTCATTACAGAAGACCTCTCTGAAATTAGGGACATATTGCATTCCAAAAGCAGAGAACAGCTCAATTACAGGGTGTACCAGTTGTTAAATACTGAATTATACTCTGTTTAGGTGAACACAGGATTAGTATTAGATATTTTTATTTTCATTCATGTCTTCTTACTTTAACATTTCAGTTGAATGTATTTTTCCTTAACCAAGTATACATCTAACAAAAATACTGGGGCAAAATGTTCTTATATTTTTACTTCCTTTTTTTTTTCCCAAATAGTTTTTAAATATTTTCATCACTCTATCTGTATATTAGTAAAACTGCATTTGAATTGTTATCACAACATCTGCACACATTTAACTTTTTTTCTTAAGTACTGAAGAAAAATAATGGTGATAAATATTTGTGTCACCAAATTTAATACAGAGGTGCTTGTTGTAATCCTGTCACTTTCATTGAGCTATGTGATGTTCTATAACATGTCTTGTTAATAAAGTAATCCCTTCTGGATCATCATTTTATTCTTCCTGTCTATGCAGTAACAAGCGACTTGTGGCCTTAGTGCCAAATGACACTTCATTCAACACCAGACGAGCCTACACCAGTGAAGATGAAGCCTGGAAGTCGTATTTGGAGAATCCCCTAACAGCAGCCACCAAGGCTATGATGAGCATAAATGGTGATGAGGACAGTGCTGCTGCTCTTGGCCTATTGTATGACTATTATAAAGTAGGTAACTCTATTGTTAATCCTCCCTGCTGCACTAGCAGGGGACTTCTCTAAGAGACATCAAAAAAGTCTCTTTTCAAAAGTAGAAGTCACTGCATCTTGTTTTTTTTTTTTGTCTCATATTTGCACCAAGCACCCTTTCTGTTTTAGGGAGCCTGTCCGAGATTGTTATGTGTTTAGTTCTGGAGAGAAAAAACAAAGTCAGAACTCTATATTAAATTTGCAACCATGGTTTCTTTTTGAGCATAATGTTCTTCCTCTTCCCTTGTAAGAGCATTGGTTGAATTAGCTCCCTTTTTATTTGTGCTTGGATATATGCAGTATACTTTAAAAAGTGTAAAAGGGGAGGCCTTGTCCATCTGTAGGTTTGTCTGCTTTCCTGGTTCATTCCACACATGTTTTAGTTTGCTCTTTAACTGCAGTATCTCTCATCTGACAGTTTCCCATGTTATTTTTATTTGCATAATGATAGCAGTAGGCTGTGTACAAACACACAGTGAGGTCTAGCCCTTGCACTGGAAGTTTGCAGTTTAAGTAGAAAGGTGGAGGACAGAAATGGAGCTGGACACAGAGACAGGGATCTAAGTCAGTTTACAAGAGGAAACACTGACACAAGGTTTCATTTTATACCAGGTTCTAAGCCCAGGACTTCACCTACCATTTTGATACCACCTTTCCTTTTTGTGTATTTCATAGTATTTAAGTAGAGCTATATTTGAGATTTCTGCTGAAATCAGAGGAGAATCCTACAGGGAGGCTTTCTGTGTAAAACAGAAATTTCTCTTGGAAACCCAGGCTGACCCCTTTGTACTCTGCAAGTGGAATCAGTGTTGACCAAACACTAAAGTATGAAACTGCTGAACTATCTCAGTACTCCTGAAGCCACCTATGCCTGCACTGGGAACACAATCTTCTGTGAAAGCGAGCAGAACAATGCCAGCCCCCCTCGCAATTCATAAAGAAGTAGCAGGAGTGAAAATTCAAAATTAAAAATCTTTTTAAAACCTTTTATTTTAGTATTTATTAGTACAAATGCTTTTAGAGAATGGGCTCCTCTTTTAGTCTCTGCTACGATCACTAAATGTGTAGTCAGGAGAAGGGGGCGTAGGCAAAAGATGCCATATACCAGCCCTATGGCTAAATATTACTTTAATTTCTTTACTGATTATATTTCAAGAGATGTTTCTTGCTTTTGTGTGTTGTCAGTAGCAAAAAGCTTATCCCAGTGACAAAGAAGAAAGGTTCTTTTCTCTACTTAACAGAGTTGCCACAGTGCCAGAGTCTGAGAAGTTAATATGAATTTGTAGTATTTGGGATGTGAATGAGCATCTGGAGTGTTGACTTCTGTCTTAATAATACCTTTGTATGTAGCAGTTCATTGATCTGGATTTTTTAAACAAAACCAGAGAACAGCCCTTTTCGTTCTCAAAACTGTCTTCTAAGAGATATGTCTGTTCCTTGTTCCAAGCAATTGCAAAAGACTTGGGGTTCAGATGGAATGAGCTGTGTTAATCTCAAAGCCATTTCCAGCATTCAATGTAACTATTTCTGTCTTCAACTGGGAGAAAAGGTTAACTTGTGTTGATGCTCTCAAACAGGAACTTTAAACCTAATTTAAACCTCTGTGCTGTAATGTGGAAATGTAGAGAACTTCCAGTACACCAGATTTTCTTGAATTGCCCTTATTTATCATCTGGCTCATTTGTTCTGACATGCTGGGTAATTTTTTGAAGTACTTTTTGCAGTCAGTAGGAATTATTTGAATGTAACTGTTCGGGGGTTTTAATTTTTTTTTTTTCATTCTCCTTTTTCTTGTACTAATGTTTACCTAAACATACATCCTCCTTCAGGCATAAATATATGATCTTAACAAGGGAACCAACATGTGCAAAATGTGGCTTGGATCCCACTTCTCTAATACATGAAAGAGTTGGGGTTTTTTTAACCAGCAGGATGTTTAATAGGGAGAGAGGATGTCCCAAGAGAAGGAAAGGCTCTGGCTAGCACTCTGACTCTGCTGCTGTCCTTCAGATATAGCTGGTGCTAACCTTGGCTACTGAAGTGCACTGTAGTATTGGTTTTCCTCTAAATTCAGGTATTTTCCTGATACTTCCTGAAAGTATTTAAAGATAAAAGGCACAGCTTTAGCCCATTCTTAGATCTATTCTTGCCCTTTAATCTGGAGTTAACTGCTGAGACAGAGTTGATATATGTTCTTTTATAAAAGATAGAAGTTTTAGCTCCCAAATTGCTGGTTCAGCAAGAAAACAGTATGGTCATGGCAGCAGCTTTGCCCTTGGAGATTTCATATCTATGCTGGTGTTAGGAAACTGGTATGTGGGAAGACAAATCTTTTAAGTTGCTTGCTGTCAATTTTAAATCTGTTGAGGGGACAGATTTTGCTGGATTTTTAATCCTCATGGCTGTTGATGTACTCAGCAAAGCAGAATTAAGTGTTCTCTGATGACATGTCAACATGCCCTGACCTGTCTGCATGCTGGGAAAGCGAAGGATTCACAAACTTCCCCTAGTACAAGTCCTGCACACTCCAGACTGCTCTATAACAGGAGGAGTTAGCTGGCGCTTGTGGTTTAATCAAAAACCCTTTTTTCTCTGAGCTAAAAGGGTCTCCATGCAGAGCTCATCAAAGCGGCATGTATTCCTTCTCATCTTTTACTATTTGGTAAAAAGTGTGAGTGTGTTCGGAAATATAAGCTTTGATTTTGAGATGGCTTGGACTAGCTTGGTATTGCAAAGGTAAGGACATAGAGTGCTTTGCTCCAGACTGATGTGCCCAAGAACTAGAAAAGAAAACAATACCTACACTATTTTCCCCTTTGGATTTTTTATTTCTGTTCACAATTAGCCTCCCAAAGAAAAACAGCTCCTGGCATCTGTGAACTAGACAACACTGATGTGGTTAAATTCTTCTAGTTGTTGCAGTAGAGCAGTCTGAAGCTGCAAATACCTGACAGTTGTGTTTACCTGACCCCATGCCTGGTGTTGTTCTCAGGTTCCCAGAGATAAAAGGCTGTTGTCTGTTAACAAAGTGAGTGATAATCAAGAAGACCAAGATAAAAGGTACAGTATTATTCAAAATCATATACCCAGCTACTAACAGTGTTGATCAGTTATGAACTGAAGGAACTATGATAACCCGAGGGTTTATAGGTTTCTTTCAGAAGGTAAAAGAATGAAGGCTGTTTTGGGAAGCAAACTTTACTCCTTTTTACGTTTAATTTATTAGAAAACTTGAACATTATTATTAAACATGCAATTTGTGAAGTCTCAGAAAGCATCATTATTTGTGTCTTGTTCTGCTGCTGCTGAGATTAGTAAAATCAGCTTATATGGACAGTTGGCTGTTGGCTGCTTTTCTTTCAATTTTCTTCTAGAATAAAGAGTGCATAGTTTGGCCTCAGTAACCTGATTTACTCAGTTTTATTTAACATAGCCTAAGGTCTGCCCAGAAGCAAATAAAGTGGCTCTTTAAAATCATTTGCTAAAAATTATTTTCTTACTCCTCTCAGATTTCAGCCTCCCTCAGGCTAAAAGTGACTTGAAGAGTCAGAGGAAGCTGACTCCTGCCTTTGTTAAGACTTGTGGACAAGAGAGAGTGTATATTTATGTAGAAAGATCTAAGTTTCTACATATATGAAGGTATCTTCATGTAAAATTATGGTGGAGAGAAGCTTCATAAGATTTATATCAATGTAGCTAATTTGGGACAACCTTAGATTACACTGGCTGTGTGGAGTAGAAATTTAAATAGGTAGTAGTATAAAGTCACTGTTTCAAAATAGAGTATGAACCTTTTTTTGAGGGACAGGTTTTCTTCTGTAAAAACCAGAGAAATTCCTAAGTTGAGTGTGATTGACAGAACTGGCCTTTGGTGGAAAGCCAAGAGAGAGGAACTGTAATGTCAGTGTATCTCGTGTGTTGAAAAGAAAGCAGTGTGTTGCACCTACTAAGTTTTATGAACTAACAATTTTATGTGAGTGCAACTACTATCAGCAATCACATTGCTTTCAACAGCAGATGTGGGTAGATGTGGGAATGCAGCTTGAGGTTACCTTGCAGCAGTTGTAGTTACTGATCTACTCTGATACAATGAGATTCCTGGGCTTGCCCTTACAGAAGAGTGTTGGTACCAGAGTTACACAAACAGTAGTGGCCTGTCAACAGCCTGAAAGAGCAGGCGTCAGCATATGAACTTTGCTGTTGATATTCTGCCTATTTCATATGCAAATTATCTACTGTGAGTAATCCATCCCTCACCTTACTCCTCATGCTTGTTTTATGCCCAAAGGCTGTTGCACTGATGGTTTGATTTTGCATCCAAATTATAAGACAAGGCAAAAGCAACCTGGGATAGCCAGAATTTATTGCAACAGGTCATACTGATTATAGGTCAAATCCAAATGCATTACCTTCCTCTAGCTGTTAGAGCTCTGGATCTCTCTGCTTGCCTCACGATGTCTTTTGCCTAGTATTTGTTAGTGTACTACATCTTACGGCAATGGCTTATCAGAATTATGAGATCTCCTTCCTGGCCATCTAAGAACATTAAGCTATTTAAGGAGGAGGTTTACTCTTATCAGGACACTTCATAATATTTTTTGGTTTTGTCTCACAGAAATTGTCTTAACACCACAGAAGCTCAGAGTAATTTGAGTGGGGGAGAGAACCGTGTGCAAGTCCTGAAGACGGTGCCAGTTAACCTTTCCTTAAATCAAGATCCTTTGGAGTCATCCAAAAGGGAATACAACACAAATGTGTCTGGGAGCTCAACACCCATCACTGGGACTGGAGTGACTGTGGTTAAAGCTGAGGAGTTCACCCCTGTTTTCATGACCCCACAAGCACACTATGCAAGAGGAGAAAATGAGGAGCACCGAGGTGTTATCTTCGAACCATATGAAGTGTCCAACATTGCTCCCCACACAAACTATCTCAAAGAAGACCAGCGCAGTACTCCTGACAGTACGTACAGCGACACCTTCAAAGATGGAGGAACAGAAGTAAGTTTTTCACCTCCAGTTAGTATCTAAGAACTCGATAAAAAGCTGTAAACAATATAAGGTGATTTGAGCTGTCCACAGGAGCCACTAGAACAGCAATGATGCTTGTTTCAACAAATTCAATTCTACTTCTTGCTGTGTTCCCCTCAGTCTGTGCTCTGAAGAGAATCATGAGGCATTTCAGAAGGCAGATTTAAAGTTGTTTATTGAAAACTCTGAGAATAATAGACCCCGATCTTTTGTCTTCTGGGATATTGCCTCAAGTAGAGGATAGTTGCAACTCTGAAAAGATTTGTTTGCTTTTAGCAAGATCTGCCTTCTGAGCTATTCATAACAGTAAGAAATAGCAGCCACTTTGTAACTGGGAAGTTCTTAATGTTCTTCTAAAAGTGCAAATAAGCCTCTGCTGCTAGATAAACCCAAGTAATTTATTCAGAAGCTGTCTGTTGCACTAAGATTTAACTCTGCAACATGGGTGAGTGAGAAAAAGTAGTAGAATCAGCTGACTAAAGGGGAATGGAGAAGTTAACAGGTAGGGAGACTTTGGTGGGTGTGTATGTAGGGGAATGAGAAGACAGATAAGGAGCTACCTTGTAACTATTTTACAGTTATGCTGAGGCAAACTCATAGAGCCAGCTTTAATATTGTGCCTACCCTCTCTCTGCTTTTGCCTGCTGCAGAATAATGCAAACAAGCCAGAAATGTAGAAAGGTAGAAATTATTTAAAGCTGACAGTAGCTCTGCAAAAAAATGAGAGATATTAGGGGATAAAGATCTCGTTGGTGTTTTCTCCTGTAACTCTTATGAAATTGTAAATGTAATAAAAGTACAAGGCAAACTACATTAGGGCTGAGTTAGTCTGACTGGATATATAAGGCATTTACAGTTTGTATGTGTATTATAGAAAAGTAGTATTATAGAAAAGTAAACTGTAGCCACACAAGCGTCATGGATCAGGATGTCTGGAGGTGAAATCAATTTTCAGATATAGAACATGTCTAGGTCAACTACATGAATAATTAATGGAGAAATCTAGCCTGCCATTGAAAAATCAGTAAGATCAAACTTTGGATTAGAAACACTGCTCTGCATTATCAAATCACATCAGCTATTTTTTATTGTTATTGCTAAATGGCTCTTTATGTGACTCCAGTGGTACTGTACCTGTGGTTTTCCCTGAGGTGCTGTAGCTGAGTGATTCCATCACGTTGGATTGTTCTGGGACACACTGCAAAGTGCTATCAAATATGCAAAGTTGTTTAACTTGGAGGGAATTTAGATCCATACATTGGCCTTTCCTCCCAGACTCCACTTAGCCCCTGTGTGCTGTGACTGTTTTTCCAGCATTGTGCTATTGTGCAGGGACAGCTGTAGGAAGGTATGGGAAAGCATAAGGCAAAATGGGAAAGTGTACCGAAAGAGAAACTTGTGCTGAGTTAGTGTTTAAGGTAGGAATACAATTGTTCTTACTAGTTTTCCTATTCATTTGGTGATACTGGCTGCAGGAGATTTGCTCTGATACTTGCTCAATATTTAAAAACATTATGAGTATGTATTTAGAAACAGTTTCAAAATTGCTTGAGTGACTTAGTTCTGTTATACTGAAGAGTGCTGAGTATTTATAGACTCCTGTGGTAGTGCACACTTCAGTCAGTCACTTGCTATATTATTCAGATACAATTTCAACAATTATGTAAATATACCTTGCTCATCTCTTTCATTCTTATTTAGGTGTGATTGATTTATTAGTTCTTTATAGTATAGACAAAATTTTCAATGATAGATAAGTAAATTGAATGTTTTTGACGATGTCAACCTCTAGCCTTCATATAAAATGTGAGGACTAGCATATTAATATGGGACCATCCTTATTGTAATACTCCTCAGATGTGAGATTTTTTAGAGTATTTAGTTTATCTGTTCTGCTGCTCATGGATCCTTGACTTCTGCTCTTAAGGAAATCTTCCTAACCAGTACATAATACCTTTGCACTTAACGAGTATCTGACTGAATGTTTGTTATGGCACAGTTGTGCATAAGGTAAAAAGTGTTTCAAAATTGCCTGACTTGTCACTTAGAATCATAGAATAGTTAGGGTGGAAAGGACCTTAAGATCATCTAGTTCCAAACCCCCTGCCATGGGCAGGGACACCTCACACTAACGCATGTCACCCAAGGCTCTCTCCAACCTGGCCTTGAACACCACCAGGGATGGAGCATTCACAACTTCCCTGGGCAACCTATTCCAGTGCCTCACCACCCTTACAGTAAAGAATTTCTTCCTTATATCCAATCTAAACTTCCCGTGTTTAAGTTTGAACCTGTCACCCCTTGTCCTACCACTACAGTCCCTAATGAAGAGTCCATCTCCAGCATCCCTATAGCCCCCCTTCAGATACTGGAAGGCTGCTATGAGGTCTCCATGCAGCCTTCTCTTCTCCAGACTGAGCAGCCCCAACTTTCTCAGCTGATCTTCATATGGGAGGTGCTCCAGTCCCCTGATCATCCTTGTGGCCCTCCTCTGGACTTGTTCCAACAGATCCATGTCCTTTTGATGTTGAGGACACCAGAACTGCACACAGTACTCCAAGTGAGGTCTCACGAGAGCAGAGTAGAGAGGCAGGATCACCTCCTGCAATCTGCTGGTCATGCTCCTTTTGATGCAGCCCAGGATACTGTTGGCTTCTGGAAACTTCTGGACACAAAATAGCTTTTAATTGCTAACTTGGTGATCACAAAAGAAGTTCTGGTGAATGTAATGATCCATCAGTGAATCAGACACATCAGCAAAAGCATGTTTTGAGCAACAGGCAAGTCAAGCAGCAGCAGCAGCAATGCTTACATAATAGTGTGAATGGGCTCATTTGCTCAAAAGGACAGAGTACACATTCTTGCTTAGTCTGTGCAAAAAGATTTTTATTTTTTTTCAGAATTCTATGTTAATGTAATTGTTTTTGATGTGTTATAATTTTTTAAGGAGTGACTGTAGGTCTCCTTTCATCTAGTAAAGCCTGCATTTTGATCAAACAGAATCTTAGAGAATCACACAATGGTTTGGGTTGGAAGGGACCTTAAAGATCACCTGGTTTCAATCCCCCTGCCATGGGCAGGAGCACCTTTCACTAGACCAGGTTGCTCAAAGCCCATTGAACCTGAGCTTGAAGGTAAAATAATTTATTATTATGTTAAAGGTAAAATAATTTCTTATCCTGTCACCACTCCTATTCAATAACGACAGCATAGCAATCTGAATTTTTGTAAGCATTTCATTGTAGGCATTAAGGACAGCTGACTACACACATTTTTAAATACAGGAAAATAAAACAAAAAGTGAAGTCTGTAGGAAAAACTGATTTAATTTGAAAATCTGCTTATTTTTGAGACTTGGTACATTTTCACAGGCTTGTTTTAGGATATATTAATGTGTAAGCAAGTGGTTTCATAAGACAGGTGTTTTTCAGCTACATTCTTGTAGCAGTTAGGTTCTGTAAAACTCTAAAAGTTTGACGTAAATGTAAAGACCATGCAGGATTCACTCCAGTTTTGGGGTATTTTAAGTTTTAATAGCTGATAGTTTCTTGTGAGGGGTCCTTAAGCAAATGTAGTTCTACTTTTGTTGGCGTTTGCATTTTGATCGTATCAAACTATATTTAATTGTTGTTTTTATTTTTCAGAAGTATCGCAGTGTGTCAGTGGGGGCTGAAGAATATATTTATGAACAAACAAGGTATGGCATAAGCTTTGAAATGTGTTGACTGGCATCATGTGGGAATGTATTGAGGAGAGGCTGCCTGTATCCACTTTCCACCCTCTCTTTCATCACACTGGGGCACCTGCAGGGCTCCCTTGACTCTCCCCTTTTTCTCCTGTGCATGTTAGCTTTTATATCTGACCAGTTTATATCTTCATCTATTATCTTCCCTAAGCACTGTTTTAAGTTAGTAATTCTTCTGAAGCTCCCTGGAGATATGGAGATTAAAACTGTTGAGAAAGGCCCCCAGGTAATAGGGCTTTGACAGCCAGGTCATGGAATATCTTCCCCACCTTTCAGGATGGTAGGATGCACAGTTTTGATGTCCAGGATGGTTGTTCCGGCTTCACCAACCTTATGGAATTCCCATCTTTATTTTTCCCTTCTGTTTTTTCTAGCTACTCCTAGTAGGTTTTTTAAGAGCACCCCATGACATTTTACACTGCTTGTTATAGTACTTCATGTTTACCTATAAAATAAATGAAGCATCTGTTACAAACCATGTAAAAGACCCTAAGAATTCCAAAAGTTTTTTACAAGGTTTCAAAAACTGAAGTTTGAAAAGATTAGTGTCCTCCTTAAGCACAGAAAAATGCATGCACAGAATGAGCAAACATTGCAGAGTCACTTTAACTAACAAAGACTGGGATTAGTAAAGTTTACAAGCTGGTGTTTCATTTTATGCTTGTGTATGGTTCTGTTGATGTCTGAGAGTTTACTCTCACTTTAGCAACAGGAAGATGCCTACATATTTTTCTTAGAGTAGGCATATGACTGCTGCTGTAGTGTAGGTTCCTTACAGCTTGGTCTTTTTCCTGAGGAATATTAAAGCAATCAGTAACTGCAGTGAGCTCAGAACTGAGTCATTGTATAGGCAGTACATATGAAACAGATACTTAGCAAAGACTGCTCACTTACTACATTGGATATTTGTAAAATTGAATCCTGATGCATTGGTATTGTTAACAATTCTCAGACATTGTCTTTCATGCTATGGCCCAGGTTCACATTAGAACGAAACATCCAAATGCTCATTCACAAAAACAAAATGCATCTTTCCTGGGAGCTACCTGGAAGTGGTAGGTTCTCAGGAATGAAAACTTCAGGTTGAAAGAAAGAAGTGGTGAACATGAAAGTAATTGAAAGGCTGGTAGAAGATCCTTTAATGACTGCAGGGGGCTTTAGTTAAGACTCGTGGTGAGAATCAGAATAGTATTATGCTAATTTGAGTGACTGCATAAGTTTTAGGAGTAAGAGTAATCCTCCTGCTATAGGGCACACTTTGATTGCCAGTTGGGAACAAGAAGAAAATTCTCAAGTATTACCACACAGAGATTGCAAAATCGGCCAGGTGCGGTGTGTCTGGGACTTGCATTTTTTGGCGTCTTTCTGAAACAGAGTGCCAAGAAACAGAAGACCAGACTGTGGCAGACTGTAGGCAGCTCTGTTAAGACACTCTATGTCTGCCTTTAGTTTATCTGAAGCCCTTCTCAGCAACATCCCTGTCAGGCCTTCTGTCTGGAAGGAGGTTTTGAGTTGCACCTCCCAGGGCACTCAGCATGTTTGGTAGGTGCCTTGCTGCATGCAACCTGCAGCCTCTTTGTGAGACACTAGATCTGAGGATGTGCCCTCACTGCTGATAGGAGGTCAATCTTCTGGACAAGCATATGCAGCAGGATGGGTGCTGGGTCCACAGTACCAGTGGTTCTGCTCTTCCAGTCTGCTTGGATGGACATACGTTGCTTGCCAGTGTTGACAGAGCCTCTGTTCCCCTTGCACACAGGACAGAGGGACTGCAGCAGCACCCACCGTGGTGGGCGGCAGTGGAGGGGAGTGCAGTCCCCTTCATGCTGCCTTCACATTGTGTGCAAAAACCTTTGTGTCAGCAGCAACTCCATTGTTGGGAAGTGCTGGTACAGTTGTCAGTGGGTTGGATAAGTACAGGTTTTTACCTTAGCTGAAGTTATTTGCTTTTTACCTTAGTTTTGTTCTGATTTGTAACTTTTAAGCAATTAAAAAATGACTGGGTTTCCATTTATAAGCTGAGAAACATTTAGAAATTGTCTTCATTTGCTTGAATGATACTAAAATAAATAATTGACACTAAACTTTCTGAAACTTCTTACAGTGGATCACAGTTTTTTCTTCCGTGTTCTCTTCAGTGGGGATTTAAATGGTATTCATGCATTTCAGTGATATTTTTTTTTATTAGATAATTAAAAATGTTTTTGGATTCCCTTTATTTCCATATTGCTATGGCAGTGTTATGATGATCCAGAGTATTTTCTTGAACTAGTAAGTTAAACATACATTCTTGTTTTAGACCAAGATATTCATCCTTTCGGTTCTACTCCAGTATTGCTTAAAAGCTTTTGCTGAATTAGGACCTTTGTGAAAATGCTTTCCCCTGTAACTCCAATTTGTGAGGACATCCTGCAAATGACTCCTTGCATTAAGCTTCCAAATGCAGTTTGAAGAGATTTATTCTGCAAGGTTAACATTATTTTTCATTTAAGAGAATGTGAGGAGCTGCAGGCATTATTTTGATTGGATTATTGTTCAAGCCCATTATTGGAGGAGGCAGTTAGAAGACGCTTTTTGAGAATTGTGTTCAGCTAACAGTTCACTAGTTAGAGGAGCTTTGACATTTCATGGTTCAAGAGCTGCTTTAAAGGTGGAAAGTTCTCCTTTGAAGGAGTGTCTTCTGAAATCTGACTTCTACCACAAGAGCAAACTCTTCTTCTCTAATTTTTGTCTTTTTCTAAAGGAGGGTTACTTGATTGCAGATACAACTAAATGCAGGTACTTTGTTCTGTCTGATTAATTTTGAAAAGACTGCTTGTAAAAACCCTGATTGCATGTTCTCCTTAAACAAATGAACCTTCTGGTTGTACTCCTTCTCTGCACTGTGCTGAAAGTAACAGTTGGATTTTCCATTCTCCATGTCCATATTTGTTTTTTTTTTTTTTGGGGGGGAGATGTTTTGTTTGTTTTTCTGTTGTTGTTTCCCTTTTTGTGATGCTCCTAAGTTTAAATGTCTGTGGAAGCAGCTGATTTCCTGCAAATCATACTAAATCTCCTCCCAGTATTTGACACTCTGTGGGTATGTCATCTTGTACTTTTTAATTCTTTTCAGAGGAAGTAAAGATGTAGTCTTTGATCCAAGAGACTTTAAGTCCAGATAGTTTTATGCTTGATTGCCAGATATGATGGACTTGGAAAAAGAAAATTACTTTTTTAAATACCTGTGTAACCTTTTCTTGCAATTTTATTATTAGCTTCTTCTGCCTTGCTTATACAATGCATGAAATAAGTAATAAATACAGAGAAATAGAAAAGGAGAAAGTGATGTGGATTTTGTTGGTGTTTCTGTTCCTGTCTTTTCAGCAGCACTTTTCAGTACACACTAGAAGCTACCAAATCTCTGCGTCAGAAGCAAGGGGAGGGGCCTATGACCTACTTGAACAAAGGACAGTTCTACGCCATCACCCTGAGCGAGACGGGTGACAACAAATGTTTCCGTCATCCCATCAGCAAAGTCAGGGTATAGTTCCGTTTCCTTCCTAGATGGAAATGCAGTTCTGCAGATAAATGCAGTTGTGATTGGTTGTTTTTATTATTATGTTTTTTATTGTGGGAGAGGACAAAGCAGACTTACTGTTACGCCTCGTGCAGAGGTGGGAAAGTCATATTGGTGATGTTCTCAAATATCTTGGGGTCTGTTTTTTCAAAGTGTGATCTTATGAGTTAGTCATACACATATCTGCCTCAGTTTATGAATTGGCAGAATGGTAATTGCACAGATACCGCACCTGACATTGGTGAATTTACCTTTGCTGTGATTAAAGAAAAAGTCAAAGAATTGATGCATCTGCTGTGTTAAGTCCATCTTCACTCACTCATGCTCTTCAACAGCTGCTTTTCAGCCAAAATGTGAAGAATTGAAGCCATCCTTTCTGACATAACTTTTAAATAATTTACATAGCATAAGTGTGAGCTTTCACTTGATGTTCACCCAGAAGTATGACAAAATGGATTACTTGCATCTTAGATTCCGTAGGTAGAACTGGAGCTTGAGTACTCAGAAACATGTGCCTGGTCAACAGGCCTTCTGTTTTCGCTGGTAATGTTTTTGAGTAAGCAAATCCTAACCCAGTAACCTTGGAATGAACGATGAGCTTCAGAGTTGCTGCCCTGCAAATTTCATCCTGAAGCTGGAAGGGCTGCATATATATGAGGCTGCAAAAGTGTTTCCATCCAAATAAATGAAATACCAGCAAGATATTGTGACTTTAGTTGAAGGAACCAGTGAAAGTCAATGTGAAACAGGCAACAATCTATGTTTCTATCATACATAAAATTTGGAGAGACTTCCTAAAGACAAGTGATAATTTGTAAACGTGAACAGCAGTTAATTTTCAGCCTGGTTTCCTAGGGACATAAGGCCGATGATGGTGTTTTATTGTTGGCTGAAGCTGATTTAAGACTTCTGTGCTGCTGAAAAGTCTCTCCCCCTGCCAGCCACTTGTTTCTTCCCGCTTTGTGGTGCCAGCTGTAATACTTGTACAGCTACAACAGGAGTCAGGAGCTCACTGGTCTGGCTGAAAACCAGTCCTCATAAGTCTTGTTCACTGCACAGCCACATGAGTTTTGGAGCTGTGGCAGCAGAGTCATAGAATGGAAAATTGTAAAGAAGGGATGAGACCATTTCTTTTAGAGGATGTACAGTTTACAGAAGATTGTGAAACTACATGCAACTTTCATACTTTCATGATCATGTTCTGTTTGTCAGGCTCCCAGACAAGGAACTGTTGAATTTATTGCCAATTCCATACAAACCTGATAGGTGCAAGAGGTTCTCAAAGTATTAAACCTCTATAAGTTCCACAGAAGTGTTTCATGGAGAAGAAAGATTGTCTCATTGATGGAAGAGCTGTAGTCTGTACTGTCAGTGAATTGTGATCCAGCTCCTTGGCTTATGAAACAGCTTGATGATGTTTTTTATGAGCTTAGTGGCTCAGGGATAAATGAAAAATAGAAACAAAAGAGGGTATTTAGAAGTATTTAAATTTCTGTTCTTTGTGATTTCTTTTCACTTCATTTTACCTAGTATGAGCATTCTTTCACTATTTTGGGTTTTTTTTTTGTTTTGCTTGCCTACAACAGGGCTTTTTAAAAAAGCCTTTATTACACATGCAAAGTTTTGCTTGAAGTTTCAATTTGTTCCCTTTGAATCACACAGTTTAACAAAAGGAGTTCAGGTACTGAACTGATGAAAAGCTCAGCAAAACTCAGTAGTCACGCTGATTTCATCATTAATGCATGTATGCAAGAGTCCTGCTCCAAGAAAGGGTATTTGGACTGTGTGTGCTAACCTTCAGCCAGTGAGCCTAAACTCCATAAGAACACATTCCTTTACAGTGTAATGTCATCTTCCAGAGTGGCAAGGAATCTGAATTCCAACAATTGGACTAGATTTGGATTCGAACTGGAACTGGGGAATCCTCTGACTTTGAAGTGACCACTTTTTACTTAAGGGAACTTAGACTTCTTAAATCAAAGAATGCAATTAAATTCTATTTGGACTATCAAAACCATAATTCTAGGCCCCGCATTATTTTCAAACTACATTTCTTCTGCCCTGAGTCTTTAAGCGCATGGCGATATTGCACTGGAATATAAATCATCAGCCTTTTGCAACAAATACATTGAGGGAAGGTGGTGACTGGATCAGCATTAGAGGCATATCAGAAATTTTAATTTTTGTGTATCTCACTGTTAATTATATTAACTGATGCAATTTCTGGTGTTGGTTTTCTTAGAGCGTGGTCATGGTTGTTTTCAGTGAGGATAAAAACAGGGATGAACAGCTGAAATACTGGAAATACTGGCATTCTCGGCAGCACACAGCTAAACAGAGGGTCCTCGACATTGGTGAGTATAAGAGGATCTCCAGATGTTGCAGGGAAGATTGCAGGGTGTGGGAAGCTCTAGTACCTTGCACTGGGATGTGGTGGGATATACTGGCAATGGCTGCAAGGCTTTAGCAATAGCTAGGACTGCTAGGACTAGGCTATGGGCTCTATGAAGAAGGATGCAGAAGGAATTGTTTTCAGTAGTCACAAAGAAGAGCTGCCTCTTGCATGCATATTTAGTGGTGTTTCACCTTCTGCTGCTAGGAAGTCAAGGTCTGCACCTATGCAGGAGTGGCAGTGTTTGTTTCCTTTATTTTTTCAAAGGCTGACACGCTCTTTCATCCAGTAACAGCAGCAGCCCACGTAACAGTTATGTTAGCTGATCAGGTTTGTAAGTGCAGCCTGAGAGTGAAGATGCCATCAATATGGTGACCACAAAGGAGCACACAGGACTCCTGCACCCCAGTTTTGGGTCCTGTTGGTGTCAGGGAGAAGTGAAGGGGAAGTGAGCTCTGGTGTGCTATCCAGAGAGACCTGTTTACTGTTCATCCCATCCAAAGTATTTACAAGCCAATTTCAGCCACAACTGCCCTATCCACATGCTTGGGAGATTTTAGCAAAGGAAGAACACGTTCCTGGTGCCAAGGAGCCTGAAGTTGAAATCTGTGGGAGTGTCTAGACATCAAGCGCTTCTCCCCTCCCACGTGCAGTTTACACTTGCAGACATCTGCAGCACATTCCAGTCAAAGGAGTCGGCAAGACCAAAGCAGATAAAGTCTATCTTGTTTTGGCCGCCTGAGGGAACCAAACCATTGAATGGCAGGAATGAGAGGGGGCAGAGAGGAGGAGGAGGGCAAAAAAGCGGTGTTTCTTGAAGAGAGCACTGTAAGACTTCAGGGTGATTGAACAGGGTGATCAGTCCCGAAGTGTTTCTACTCATGCAGTGCTTTTCCACTTTGAAATGCTGCAGCCTCCACTGAGGCTGGCATTATTTAAAGTCAGGCTCTTTGGTCAAAGCAGCTCTTTCCGAATCTCCTCTCTGCCTCTTGTCTTACCGGTATAGTTCTGGCTGAACTGTTTTCCCAACTTCTTTTCTTGTTTTCTTTTTTTCCCTGTCCTTTGGGGTAGTTAAGGAGTAAAACCTCCACCCCAGACCAGATGACTCTTATGATGACATGTTAAAAGAGCAAGTATGCCACGTCACAGCTATTTCTGAAGGCTGCCTGTTTTTGTGTGCTAGTCCCTACAAGCTTGTAGTGCTTGTGCTCATACCTTTGAAGGTATGTGCTTAGGAGCTTGTTCCACTGCAGTGCCAACACCCTCTGACTCCACTGCACTTGTGGTGTACCACCACATTTCAGTCCCCTTACCTGAGCAAGTCAGTTTATGACACATATTCTGTAAAATAGTGCTCTGCAGCACAAGTGATGTGCATGAACTGTGTGTTTATCTGTGTTAAAGTGAATGTCTTTTGTTTCCACAAGTTTGAGATGAAATAAGTCTGTGCTGACTTTTGAGGTGCTCTGGCGCACTAGTCTTTATTTGGACTGCAAATATGAGCAAAGCCTGGTGTAGTAAGAATCATTGATACAGCACTCCCTGACAGATGTGAGAATTTTAAGAGTTCTCCTCAGCATTTTCGGAAGAAAGACTTATGTGCTCACTAGTGTTTTCTCGAGAACAACTGAAATATGGCCTTGCTTCCTACCAAGTACAATGTTTCTGAATTAAATTTCACTTTTTTTTGGGACCTGCTTTGTTGTTGTGGTTTAACCCCAGCTGGCAATTCAGTACCACATAGCTGCTCACTCACTCCCCCTACTCCTTTCCACCCCCCTGCCCACCCAGTGGGATGTGGAGGAGGATCAGAAAACAGGTAAAACCCATTGGTTGAGATAAGAACAGTATAAAAATTAAAGTACAATATAATACTACTAATAACAAGGGAGATAACAGAGAGAGAGGGATAAAACCAAAAAAACCAATCCAACAAAAAGAAAACCCAACCCAACAAAACAGCAATGATGCACAATACCATTGCTTACCACCCACTGAACAATACCCAGCCCAGCCTGATCAGCAATGGGTCCCTCCAGGGTGACTTACCCTAGTTTATATACTGGACGTGACACACTGTGGCGTGGAATGCCCCTTTGCTAGTTTGAGTCAGGTGTCCTCTCTCTGCTCCCATTCAGCTTCTTGTGCCCCTCGTCACTGGCAGAGCATGAGAGACTGAAAAGTCGTTAATCAGAGTAAGCATTACTTAGCAAAAACGAAACATTGGTGTGTTATCAGCCTTGTTCTCAGACTAAAGCCAAAACACAGCACCGCACCAGCTAATAGGGAGAAAACGAACTCTACCCCAACCAAAACCAGGATAGTTGTGGATATTTGGCTTATTAGGGCAGAACGGCTCCAACTACATTTCTCTTACAAGTCTCAAGCTGCATTTAGCAAAATCCTCTGGTTTTATCATCAGATAATCTGAGCAACTTTATCCAAATTTGGCGTTCCACTTTGAGTGGAAATAGGGTAGGAGTTGAACCAGATAACTGCCAGGGGTCCCTTCCAAACTAAATTAATGTGTGGCTTTATGGAGATTTCCCTTTACATTAAAAATTCAGATCCCTAAAGAGCTCCTTTAAAGGAATACTGAGTTAATGTCCAAGCCCTGTGTAGTTAACAGAGAGAATTATGAGTCTCTGAGGGAGATCAGCAAATGCCAGGATATGCCATGGAGTACCATCTAATCGGGCAGTAAGAGAAGCTTACTAAGGACAGGAGTATGTATTGGATTTGTCCCATCTTCAGGAGATGGTCGGGCAATCTGCTGGTAGCCCCACTTCTCTCTTACTTTGAATTTCACTCTGATTATCAAGTATATCATAGAATAGTTAGGGTTGGAAAGGACCTAATCATCTAGTTCCAACTCCCCTGCTGTGGGCAGGGACACCTCATGCTAAACCATGTCACCCAAGGCTCTCTCCAACCTGGCCTTGAACACTGCCAGGGATGGAGCATTCACAGTTTCTCTGGGCAACCCATTCCAGTGCCTCACCACCCTCACAATAAAGAACTTCCTCCTTATATCCAATCTAAACATCCCCTATTTGTTTTAACACATTGACCCTTGTCCTTACACTACAGTCCCTAATGAAGAATCCCTCCCCAGCATCCCTATAGGCCCCCTTCAGATACTGGAAGGCTGCTATGAGGTCTCCACACAGCCTTCTCCAAGCTGAACAGCCCCAACTTTCTCAGCCTATCTTCATATGGGAGGTGCTCCAGTCCCCTGATCATCCTCATGGCCCTTCTCTGGACTTGTTCCAACAGTTCCATGTCCTTTTTATGTTGAGGACAGCAGAACTGCACACAGTACGCCAAGTGAGGTCTCACGAAAGCAGAGTAGAGGGGCAGGATTACCTCCTGCGACCTGCTGGTCACACTCCTTTTGATGCAGCCCAGGATACGGTTGGCTTTCTGGGCTGCAAGTGCCCACTGAAGCCGGCTCATGTTCATTTTCTCATCGACCAGCACCCCCAAGTCCTTCTCCGCAGGGCTGCTCTGAATCTCTTCTCTGCCCAGCCTGTAGCTGTGCCTGGGATTGCTCTGACCCAGGTGTAGGACCTTGCACTTGGCATGGTTAAGCTTCATGAGGTTGTCATCAGCCCACCTCACAAGCGTGTCACGGTCCCTCTGGATGGCATTCCTTCCCTCCAGCGTATCAACCGAACCACACAGCTTGGTGTCATCGGCAAACTTGCTGAGGGCGCACTCAATCCCACTGTCCATGTCAGCGACAAAGATGTTAAACAAGACTGGTCCCAACACCGATCCCTGGTGGACACCACTCGTTACTGGTCTCCAGCCGGACATTGAGCCATTGACCACAACTCTTTGTGTGTGGCCCTCCAGCCAGTTCTTTATGCCCCAGGTGGTCCACTTATCAAATTGATGTCTCTTCAATTTAGAGACAAGGATGTCGAGTGGGTAAATATGAAGGGTTAATCATGTATTGGGGATTTTCAAAACTGTCTGAATAGCCATAATTCTGTGTAACCAGTTCCATACATGTTTATAATAATTTGTATTACTTTAATAGCATATGTTAAACATCTGTGAATCCTTTTCAATTGTTTATGAATGCACCTTTTGTCTAGAGCATGACTTGGTCCTTAGCAGGCAGAGAATCAGCTGAACTTGGGATGTTCTATTCCTGGATCCTGCTATTCTGTCCTCTGATGGGGGTTATGACTCTGTTTCTGCTGGTTTCCCCAGTGATACAGGCCTGCCTGTCTTCCTTCTGCCCTGCAGTTATATTCTGGAGATCTGAGGAAATAGAATGACTTGTTCCCTCACTCCAGACGTGCAGGGGTCACTGCTTTCATTCCTTTTGTGTCCTGGCTGCTAGTGTGCCTCCTGGGAGGAAGGATGATTGAACAGATATATGCAGTGCTGGGTCTGAAGATGCATTGACTTTAATAGGATAAGCATGTACTTACATGTAAGGGAGTCCTTGCTACTTAAGGAAGAAACCTGAGGACTTGACGCTTAACAAGCAGGAAGGAAAGGTGTTTTCCAGAATTTAGCCTAAGTGCTGCTGCGGATTTTTCTGAAGGAGGAGGCACTTTCACTGTTTTTAGCTTAAAAAAAATCCCTCCCACTACAAAACCTTGATTTTTTCTCAGTGTCATGCTGTGACATTGGATTACTACTTTTATTTTTTTCCTTTAAAATCTACTCTGCTCTTGCGAGACCTCACTTGCAGTATTGTGCACAGTTCTGGTGTCCTCAACATAAAAAGGACATGGTGCTGTTGGAACAAGTCCAGAGAAGGGCCATGAGGATGATGAGGGGACTGGAGCACATCCCGTATGAGGACAGGCTGAGAAAGTTGGGGCTGTTCAGCCTGCAGAAGAGAAGGCTGCATGGAGACCTCATAGCAGCCTTCCAGTATCTGAAGGGGGCCTGCAAGGATGCTGGGGAGGGACTTTTCATTAGGGACTGTAGTGACAGGGGTGACAGGTTAAAACTTAAACAGGGGAAGTTTAGATTGGATATAAGGAGGAATTTCTTTATTGTAAGGGTGGTGAGGCACTGGAGTGGGCTGTCCAGGGAGGTTGTGGATGCTCCATCCCTGGCGGTGTTCAAGGCAAGGTTGGAGAGAGCCTTGGGTGACATGGTTTAGCATGAGGTGTCCCTGCCCATGGCAGGGGGTTGGAAGATGATCTTTAGGTCATTTCCAACCCTAACTATTCTATGATTTTGTATAGAACATAATATTGGATTGCAGCAAATATTAATTATTTAGAATTAGTACCATAATCTGACAAATACTGGAGTGGGTTCAAGCACGGACATAGAGAATGGGTGTGGAAGTTTTGGACTGGGGTTATTTGTGCTCTAGAGTCTTGCCCATATTTGTTTTGCAGGACAGTTTGTATTATTTATGTGCATAATGCAAAACCTACTGCAATGGTATGTAATGCATGCGAATTATTAGTGTTTAATGTTATAATTTGCCATAGTTTAATATGCAGTTTACCCAATAAAAAGGAAATAATTGCTGTAGAGCTGTTTCTGCATGTGGAAGAACCCCAGTTTTCTGGTAAATCACAACAGCAGAAGAGGAAAAAATGTAGTCACAGTGGCAACTTTCAGCTATCCTTGGGTGTAAATGCTGTCTTAATCAACTGAGGATCCTTCTTTAAATAACTGTAAATTGAGGGGAATACGATGCACTTCTTCTTTTAAACAGCATGTCACATAGATGCTCCATGAGATTTGTGTATAGCAATTAATGAAGTGGAGGCATGTGTTGGGGGAAGGGAAGGGCTGGTGGGATGTGAGGTTCTGACAGCCTTTTAAGAGAAGAAAACATGTGTCTTTACAAGACATGTTGTTCGTGTCTTTCCAAAGTGCACCTACACAGCACGCCCATATGCAGCAGTCAGTTGCACAAGGCACTCTCTGGTGAATCATATATTTAAGGTGTGGGTGGATGTGTGCACATGCATATTAAACTACTTATGTGTCTTCTAATTCTCCTTATTTGCATTCCTGCACTGAATTAAGATAGTGAAGCCAATTACTTCAGTTAGAAAGGAGCTCTGAGTTCATGATGGGAATGAAAAGCCTACTGCCTTCTCAAACTGTAATCACTTGCTGCATCACCAAATATCTTGTGCTGTTCTTATGGTCAGAACAGTGAATTTTTACTGTATCCAAAACTGTGCCAGCATGCCTGTGTTTCGTGATGAGAGACAAGTATACTGATTGCACCTCCCAAATGTTAAAAAAATTCTTATTGCAGCCATGTTTTTTTAATAAATGAATTTAAAATTGTTATTACTTAGAAATTATTTTTTTTTAGAGAGCAACAGTGTATTTTTAGAAAGGCAAAGGAACTGAATACTGAAACCGTTTGATTTTATAGAATTTCTATATTTATAGAATACAAAAACATCCTCTTTCTTTAACTGATTACAAAGCTAAGAACCAGCGCGCTTCTGAATCACAGATTTGGGCAATATTAGCTCAAGATCGCTGCATGACGTAAAGCTCAGCCCTCTGGCACTGCATCCAATTACAGCCCTCAGGGATTCTCAGGAAATGTGTATGTCCCAGAGAGAGTTGATGCATTCACGTGAACAATCTGGAAGTTCCTTTAATCAAGCAGATATTACTTACTTGCAAACTGGGTCTTTCTCTTAATCTGTCATTGAAAAGAAAAAAGTGTGTTTGGCAAAGGGAGAGAAAAAGTGGGCTTGTTTTTTCTCATTATAAAGAAGACCTGGAAGTTGTCTGTTTTATGTGGCGTTCCACCCTTATGTTTTGGGGGAAAGGTTGGGTCATCTTTGAAATTTGGGCTTCCTCCCTCTTGCTTTGTATTCCTTCTGAAATGTTAGCTCACTGATAGTATTAACAGCCCATGGGAAAGAAGTGTGAAGAGCCTGCAGAATTTGTAGTCAGACAATTTAAAAATACTTTATGTCTGTTTGCTATTTTAGTATCATACACATGTTAAGGAAAGGATTTTTTTAAATTATTCTTTTTGTCTGTTTTGTTTTATTTAAAAAAAAAAGAAGAAATCCAGCATTCACTGCAGTAATTCCTGGGAGACTTGAAATGGCTTGACAAGAAATGTGCACTACTGATCATTTCCTCCAGTGATAGCTCTTAGCCTTTTAGAAAGTTTCTTTAGCTTGCTTATTTACATAAAGTTTTAAATGTTTCAATAGCTTCTAGATAATTTTCCAGATTTGGCCATTCCTTAGCCAAGCTAATGAATGTGCCCACTCGTGCCCACTCATGCCCACTACAGTCACAGATTCCTTTTTAAGGGCAAGCAGTATTTTGCAAGAACATTAGCTGGTGATGTGTGTGTATAAGACTCAAGCTGCAGATATTACCTCTCTGCAATTAAGCTTAATAATTCAACACAAACAATACAAGTGGTAGTTTTGATGCATTAAACAAGCCAGCTGAAAAAGCAAAGATCTACTATGCGTTGTAAAAGAGAAAGTCCCAAATCTTTTTGTGAGTCTTTTGTTTGTTTGTTGTTTCTTACAGCTGATTACAAGGAGAGTTTTAATACCATTGGGAATATTGAAGAAATCGCATTCAATGCTGTGTCCTTTACCTGGGATGTCAATGAGGAGGCAAAGGTGAGGAAAAGCCATGAGGATGGCATCCTTATATAAATACCCTACATCCTCTGTCACTGTTCCACTTCTCTCCTTTTTAACAGATAAGAAGAAGGGTGGGTGGAGGTGAGCGAGCTCAGCCTCTGCAAAGCCAGGCAAATTGTGGTCTTCCACTGGCCCCAGGGATTCTGGCCATCTGTAGAAGGCAAGAGGGTGTGTAATGGTTGTGTCACTGACAAAGAGATTTCCGAGGAAAGCCTGCAGGGCTCTTGCGTTGCTGTTTCTTGTGACCTCTCAGTGATTTTTTTCCATTTAAAATATGCCCTGCCTGCGAAAGAGTAAAGGATTTTTTTCTTTTTGCAAAGTCAGTTTAGAACAAAAGGTGAACTTTTTCTTTCTCTTTCCTTTCTGTACTGTTAGCATCTCCAGTAATCAATGTTCTGTAACATAGACTATGCCTTCCCTTGTGTTGGTACCATTATTTTTTATTTTGCACATCTGTCCTTGTAATTGGGAATGAACATATTTTTGAGGACTGGTGCATTCTGTCTGTCTCTGTTAGTGTTTGAGTACCCTCAGACATGGGGTTTTGCATTCAGGGATGTGACTGCTACCGTGGAATTATAAACCAGGGATTTATAAACCAGAGAGCACTTCAGGAAGTGTCTCACAGATAAGGTTATCCAAAGGGGTGGCAGAGTGTTTCAGCTGCATGGACTAGTGTAGAAGAAATGAGAAGCTGCCAGTAATTATAAGAAGTTGTCTCTTGGAAATAGGCTGTGTAAAATGTGTGGGGATAATGCAGAATTCCTGGGGATGTAGAAATAATAAACAAGCATTGTTGAGCTTAGCAAACTCCTGATACTGTTTTCATGTTGAATAGAAAATGCCAGGAGTTCAAGTAATGCTAAGGATCTTTACAAATACAGAGATATCTTCATGCATGATTCCTCACTGCATTTCTAACAAAGCATTACAGAGATTGCATTGCATTGCGCAAGCAAGTTGTCCTGTGAGAGACTGCATTGAGTAGAGTGGTAGCATTAACACTCACTGTCCTGACTTGCTGGCTGAAGGTGCTGAGGTCTGTACTAACAGGGATTTTCATTGCTGATGCACGTTTTAAAAGAATAGAGCACTAAAGAAAATACAATAGCTGAAAACTACCTAGCTCTTTCAAAAGCTGGCCTTGGTAAACAGAGTTGTGATTGTCCTGGTTGCTGGTGGTGCTGTATTTACTCATGCAATGATTACATTCTCACTGCTGCAGATATTTCCCCATTATGTGATTCCATTTCAAAATACAGTGGTATGTTGTCCTCTGCAGTCACAACAGGTGACTGCTATGTGCGTATGATCATTATGTAAGCAAATGCAGGTTTGGGATCTCTAATGCAATGGACTTTCCCAAGGGCTTTTACAGAAGCACTAAGGGCTAGGGCTACCTTGCCTCACTGGCACCATCCCCATTGCCAGTGCTGCCAGTTCTTTAACATGTATACATTTGCAGCTGCAAGACAGACTTAGCAAGACACCATTTCGATCTAGGAGCAAGACTTCCACTAATGTCAGGTGTTATGCTTGGCCATTCGATCTTGCACCATTCATGTTGCTCTTGCCTTAGGTGCCAGAACATTAAGAACACAAGTCTTGCGATGACCACTGGAAATATAACAGAGTAAGATGTTAAAATAATGACTCTCTTGCTGTTGCTGGATTAAAAAACTGCCAGGAGTAAAATGTTAAGAAAGCCACGTGTATTTCTGCAGGACGTAGTCATTAAAATGCAAATTAGCTTATGCAAATTTATTTTTTGGGGGGCTTTAGTTATCGAATATCTGAACTTTTAGGAGCTTGAACTGGAAGTGTATTCATAAAAGTAAGAGGATTCATAACATGCTTTGGTTTTAGGCTATCAAACATAAATCAGGTTGTACCTGAAAGCTTATCACCATGCACGAAAGTGTTTCCTTCCCCACACGTGTGTATACACGTACCCACATGCTCGCTCCTGTTAGTCTAATACAATAACCAGTTGCACTGGGTCTGGGGATTCCCATAGGATGGCCCTGCGGTTGTTTGAAAGCTGTGGACTCGGAGGCACGTCACTGAAGGCTGTTTTTTCTCCAGCAATTACTTCATCCAAGAGAAATGAAGAATTTCAAGGCTTAATTACAGACTCTTTTCTTAAGCTTTTGGAATGATGATCTTTTAACTGGCTCCATTGTTTCTGCTCAGTGTTGTTTTCCCTTTTCAACCACAATTTCAAGATTAAAACTTAACCTCACAGGCACAAAGGCCTTTCTCTTCCGAGTCAGACAAAAGCGGCACAGAGCAGTTCTTTCCAGGGCCTCTGAGATGTGATGTGATGAAGCGCTCTACTGGCCCAGGAAGAAAGAAAGAAATAAACCAGGGTGGTCATTGGAAGTAAACAGTGATCTTGAAAAATCAAACAGAAGAAGCAGAAATCATCTAACAAAAAATCACCAGACCAAACATCCCTGTCTCTCCTGGGAGACTAAATCGTGCATCTAGGAAGATTTATCTGGAGCATCGGGTTTCTCACTTTCCTGTTCCTCCTAGAGGGCAGCTGATTTAACGCCAGATTTCTCCTCCCCCACACAAGCAGAGCAGTACCCTCCTCTTGGAAGCCCTTCAGGATGAGGGTATAACAGTGTGGGTGTGACAGCCAGGCTCTGCCTGCTAACAGTGAGCCTGCTAAGGGTTTGTAAGGCAGCATTGTGCCTGGATCTTATGTGGAAGCAACAGACATTCAGAGCATGCAAGCAGAAGCCTCTCTTCATTAACTCAGTATCATGAAGGGAACTGGGGTGTTAGCTCCAGCTCTCTGTGCTTTGTCCCTTGTGTTCTGACTGTTGCTTGGAGGAACAATTCAATGGAAGAGGGAATCTTGTATAGCGCTGTTGAGCTGTGGAATAATCTCACTGTTGCTTTCTGTGGACTAAGGGAACTGCACCAAAATCAGAAACACCACTCCACTAGTTTCCTCAGCTGTATTCTGGTCAACAGCAGATACAAGAGGACAAGCAGTCCCCTGGCCTTCTGGCAGAGCAGATTTGGGCCTTGCACAGCCTTATCTTTTTCTAGAACAACATCCTTTTGTGCTGGGACCACTGTTTAGAGATCATTGTGAAGCTTGTGGTTCAGAGCAGGACACAGGGAAATGAGGGGAAAGGTCTACAGCCATGTCCAACTCTTCCTTATGCTTCTTATGCACAAACATACTGTGTGGCTAGGAAGTGAGGTAGAGAAGGCTGCACGGAGACCTCGTAGCAGCCTTCCAGTATCTGAAGGGGGGCTATAGGTATGCTGGGGAGGGACTCTTCAGTAGGGACTGTAGTGATAGGACAAGGGGTAAGGGGTTAAAACTTAAACAGGGGAAGTTTAGAATGGATATAAGGAGAAAGTTATTTACTGTAAGGGTAGTGAGGCACTGGAATGGGTTGCTCAAGGAAGCTGTGAATGCGCCATCCCTGGTGGTGTTCAAGGCAAGGTTGGACAGAGCCTTGGGTGAGATGGTTTAGTGTGAGGTGTCCCTGCCCATGGCAGGGGGGTTGGAACTTGATGATCTTAAGGTCTCTCCAACCCTAACTATTCTATAATTCTGTGATTCTATGAAGAACACTTTATGTACAGTCCATCTTTGTTTCGCTCCCATTATTTCCTTTATGTATAAATATGCAACATTTATGGGCAAGGTGATTTGTTGGCTCCCTTTGGTTTAACCTGAATGCTCTGTCTGGTATTTTTAAAAGGGTTCTTTAAACATGATGAGGAAACAAACAGCAGTTAACCAGGACTAGCTAACTTTTTAACCATCTTTTAAAAGTCTTTTCATGATATGCTAGAAAGTAGTTAGTTGCCTTGCTGATGCCCTACAGAAGATTTGCTACAACGTCTGGCTGGTCGACAAAATTCTAGTGGAGGCTTTTGAACAGAGAGATTAGTTTTGTTTTTGATAGACATATATCTGCCTGCTTGCAGTCTTACTGCTGACAGAAATGAGTTTGCAAGGAAAGATAATTAAGAACCAGAAATCTCCTGGTCAAAGGTGACTATCTTTGTCATAAATCATGTCAGCCCTTTGAGATGCATCTTCTCTCTGATTAACACTTCAATAATTTAAAATGATTAGGATAATATTACTTCTGAAACAATATATTAATTGTATCTTTTTATGGGAAGCACTTTTTAACCTTAAAATTCAAAGTCATCTTAAAGCAGACAAAATTACTTTTCAGCTATACCAAGAAATTACTGATATCTGCTAAGCACTACAACTTAGACACGCAGGAAACAGACATTGGTGGATATGTTTTTCAGGCAGGTGCTGTCACATGCTTTTTAGTGTGTACAGTAGTTGTGTGCTGCACATTTGTTGTGTGTACTTGCATGCAATCATTGTCCTGCTATATTTAAATGATCTTTAATCCAAAGTATGCTGAAGCCTCTGGGAACCTTTCCAGTTATTTAATGAGTTTTGGCACAGCCCATACAGTAATAAGCTGTTTTCAATGATTGAGTTATTTTCAGGATTAGGTTTTTGGATACTGTGGGCCAAAGTGAGCTATACCAGTGGGCACAACGGTAAAATTAAGCTTATAGAGCAGCAGAGTTTCTAGCAATGATTCGTATTGTGGCAATTAATATTTCTTTAACGTTGGTAGTGTTGCTAAGGTCAGGTTTTGACTAGTATAATAATTATTCTTAATTAATTTACTTCTTAACTTACATCAAATTTCATATCATTAGGAATGAAATTAACATTTTCTCTACTCTCAAAATGTAAAGTTTGGAGGAAAAGATACTTCATTTTGGGGAGCTAGTACTAAAATTATGTAGGATTAGACTTTGCAGCTGCTTTATTAAACCATGTCTGTGTGTGCAAGTGTGCATATATAATATATATAAGTATATAATATAATGCCAGGCAATATATATACACACACAATGTATCTATTAAAGAAGAGTTAACCTGTGGTAGCAAATAATGTTGAAATTTCAGTGTGTACAAATGGCTTGGTAAGTATATATCTGAGATTCAAGGCAAATGGCATTTTTATGTAGTTGCCAGGGTGGGGTGTGGGTTGAGGAAGCTTCAAAAGAGTAGTGTAAACATTTGCTGGAGACATTTGTATTGAAATAAAACAAAGGTCTTACCTTTGTGTGGGATTTATAAGGTAACGGCTGGCAGGAGAAACTATAAAACCACACTTTTTGTGTATACGAGGGGAATGATGGGATTGATGTTAGTCATTTGAGAGACAAGTCATTTAACTCTTCACTGTTACAGTCTGGAGGGATAAACCATTTTTTAAATAGGATTTTGCAAAGACCCATTACCCATGCCTAGATTCTGTGTATTGCCATAGAATCAATGCAATTTCCAGTAGTCAGTGGAGAAATTGCTTTAAGTTTCTGGTTTTGTGCTGTAACACACTTTTCCCTCCCTTCTGCTCTTGGCTCTTCCTGCGACAGTGGGAGCCAGAAATGTAAATATGTAAATAGTAATAAAAGGCTTATATTAGAAGTTTCGTAACAATAGACCTTTAAAGAGTATAAGCTGAGAGACCACAGCAGGAGTCCTGTTGGCTGCATTAAATGATAAAAGGGGAAATGCATTTCTGAGTCTTGCTTTCTCTTAAGACCTGTTACTGTGTTTGTGTCTTGTACATCACTAATTATGCTGCAGTATTTAACAAACAGTCAGTAATTCACATAATAACAGCTACACTTTGGAGGAACGCCTTCCCCGAAAGAGACAGTGCTTTTTCTAGACAGGCTCTAAACCAAACAGAAGAGTTGTCGTTATCTTAGGCCACTTTTGAAACTTTCTCAGGCACCAGATGTTTCTCCAAATGATTTTTTCATTGCCAATGGCATGCCTGAGCTGGAGACTAGATGGGTGGAACTCTGTCATTAATTGCTCTAATCTAAAATATGTTGACATTAAATAAAAAGAGACATCACTATAACTACAACCCAAATGTATTCCCGATAGCAAAACGTTGCTAAAATCTAGTTTGCACAGGAAAAATAAAGTTTGTAAATTAATTCAGTTACAGCTATAGTCACATCCATTAAAATAATTCTAAGTCAAGTGTAGGCAGGGCCCTAGGGAAAAAAAAAAGTAGTGATTTTTATTCCTGCTACAGTTATTTCTACTTAACTCTACATTTTCTATCTGTTTAACTGTACTATGCAAGAGGCCAGAGCAAGGAGGATCTTAATCCTGGATGTCTGGAGAGGTAGAGAGGGACTGCATCTTTTCCGTAGCTGCCAGTGGGGTTGTTTTGCTCATTGTTGCATTGAGTGTATGAGTACCTGCATTAAGGACAGGAGCTGCAAAGGAGGGGAAGATGAGGGTTGTAAAGGGCAAAGCAGGCTGTGCTTGAACAGGTGGGTTAAAATCACTGCTGCTTAGAGCAGGTGGCATGTCTTGGTTACTGCTTTGGGGAGATGAAGGTTTCTGGTCTGAATAGGGGACTGTCCAGATGGTTCTCCAGGTCCTGTTCACCACAGGAGGCTGCTGCACCATGGTGTTAAAACTGGTGCAAATCTTCAGTCATTCAAAATATAAAACCAAACCCAAACAGAACTTTGTAACAGAACTTAGGCCCTCTTGCCCTTCCCTTTGCACAGCGCCTTCGTTTTCCAAATCTGAAGTCAGTGTTGTGCTTTACAGGAAAGCTAAGAGAAGATTGTGTGGAGACAGAAATTTTCCCCCCAAAATAAATGATCTGTGTTAATTCAAATCCATCTGTCTGTGAGGTGCAGATGATATGACAGGAAGTATAGTGCACTTCAAGAACATGAACCTGTCGCTGCTCCTCAGGGAGGTCCTGATGTATTGCAGTGTCAGGACAAGGATATTGAATCTTACAGCATCAATCTATTATTCATGCTGAATAATCTGTTATTGCTGTATGGAGACTCTGGAAATGACAGTTTGTCTTCCCCAGCCGCTCCTACTCTGCTCTGTGTTTCTGAAGGCAGCAGCAGAAGAGATGGCACACCGTGTATGTAGTTGATTAAGGTGGGACAAGATCTTTCTTTTACTTCTCTGCTGAGTGTGCAGCAAAGGTAGTTGATGCACAAACTGCTGGTTAGGTGTAAAGCCTGCACATCCCCTCTCACATTTTAATGTACAGTTTGAAACCCCCCTGTGCACAAGTATGGGCTAAAATATGAACTGAAATACTTTTGCTAAAGTATGGGCTAAAATATTTATTAGATTCTGTTTTATGTCAAACCTCATTCCACTGCTGTGTCTTCAGACACAGTTTAAAGCATTACTGACACTGTAAAGGAGTCTGAAGGCTAATGAAAATTCAGGCCATCATATTTCAAAGGCATATGCACCCATATCCACGCTTACCTTTGGAGCTGGAGACCAAGTTGTAATATGAAACAGAAATAACACTATCAGCTTCAAAATCAGTTTCACCTAGGGCCCTTCCCCGCAGTTAAAGTTCAACTATTTCATTTGTAAATGCAGGTCTGTGATACAATCAGAAGCAGAAATGCAGGGGGGCCATTAGCTCAGTCAGGCAAACAAGCTCCTCTGGCTCCATCATAAAAAAACCCTGACTGTAATGTTAACTTCTGCCATTAGGGTAAAGTATTCCAACCCTCCTGCCCCTCCCAGCCCTACCGGAGCCTTTTATTCTCGGCTGCTTTTCTCTTTCTGTTGTATTCTGGTTCACTCAAACTGTTGTTTTGGTTTTGGTTTGCTTTGCTTTGCTTTCCCTGCTTGTGACTGGGGAGAGGTTCCTTCATGCTCACCCTTCCTGAATTCTCCCAGAGCCCAGGCACCTGTTGGATTAGCCTTTGCCCAGCAAGATGTGCTTCAGGTCTGCTTGAGAGACCTGTTTGAGATCCCTTCCTTCCTGAGTGTACTCATTCTGCTGGAGCAGGTTTCACATCATCCTCTTTCAGGCAGTGCATATTGGTAGTTTTCTCTGTCCTTTTCCTTAGTTCACAGTTTCAGTGGGTTTTTTTTTTTTTTGTTTCTTTCTTTCTTGTTTGTTTTTTTTGTTCCTTTGTTTATTTCTTTTTTTTTACTTGAAAGTGAAAAGTAGAGTTGGGTCAATACATAATTGGCCCAAATTACTATGTAGTGCGTATATTCCTCACTGGAAGAATAGCTGTATTTTTAATCCAGTTTAATCTCTCAAGTTTCATGCACACTATCCTGACTGAAAGATACCAGTGATATGTCAGTTCACAATGCTTACTTTGCATGAGAATAGTCCTTGGGAGACTTGGTGGTGGAATACCCTTCTCCCAGGACCTGTGCTAACACATGGCAGATGACACGAAGCTTGTCCTATGGTAAGATGAAGACTGGGGGGGAGGAGCTGACTAATGTGTATCAGCACACAAGTTGTTGTAGAAGAAAAGCATAGGGTGGATTTTGGAAGGAAAGGCAGGCAGTGCGGTTGCCAGGAATGGAGAGCAATGTCAAATTGTGTTGCTGCTACATGGCAAAAAGACTTTTGAGAAGAGGTAGGGAATAGTTTTATAAATGTTTGAGAAACTCCTCCACAGTTTGAAAGACAGGGTGTGATGCATTTTTGAAATGGAAGACAGGACCCTCAAAGTAAACATCAGGAGTATCTTTTGACGGGCTGGAGGAAGTGGTACTGCTGATGAGAGGGTGAAGAGAGTTTGTAAAATGATTAAAAAAAACAAGGTTAGGACTTGTTTTTCCACACTGAATTTGAATTGTGAGCTGTCAGAAGAGCAAACCAGACCAAAGGACAAGTGGAAAGGATGACAGAAGATGATCTTGCTATTTCTATATCAGCAAACAGTACAAACATACAGAACACACCTGTAGAGCGAAACAAGTCAGGGCTGAAGACCTGACATTCACATGAGGTGCATTTTAGGAGGTTTTATTTCAGATTTTCTTTAGTCAGCTCCCGAAGACTGAGCAATCACTAGCAGCTGGAGCATGTAAGGTGTACTCCTAGGACACATCTGCTGGTCTGGCTCTTCCACAGAGAATCCAGATCATGCACTCTGAGCTCACAGTTGCGAACCAAAGCATGGTAAGTCGGGACCATCGAATGATTCACCTCAAATATGAGCTCCTGATCCAAACTGAAGCACTAACACATGCCTCTGAAGTTTCTCCTTCTTCCTATTGTGGTAGCATCTTTGCTGGACTTGGGACAGGAGCAGAGAATAAATGTGTGAATTGCCAGTGTGGGTCATAGACGGGGGTATCTGCTTTTATTTTCCTATTTGTTGTCGTGTGTTTCCGAAGTTTAATGGTTGTTTGCATCACATGTTAAAAGTAATCTCTCTGGCACACAGATTTTCATCACAGTGAATTGCTTGAGCACAGACTTCTCCTCTCAAAAAGGAGTAAAGGGGCTTCCTTTGATGATTCAGATTGATACATACAGCTACAACAACCGCAGCAATAAGCCCATCCACAGAGCCTACTGCCAGATCAAGGTTTTTTGTGACAAGGTAAGTGGAAAGCATAGTTGCCACAGATAGAGGAAAAACCTTGTTACATAGTTTATTATTGCTGTATTTTAGACCTAATTAAATGGTCTTTCCCTAAAGAATTGTGTTTCATGGTAGAACTTGGACCATAAATCTAACAGATCATCATGTAATTATTTTACTGCTTTTTTTGATTTTATTTTTTTTGGGCTCTGATTCCTCACCTTGTAAGAGCAATTGGACTGCTTAAGGACAGGATGCTGCAGGTCATGATGTAAGAATATAAGAAAAGTGAGGAAGTACAAATGTAAAGATTTCTACTTGGTAGGTCAGTGCTGATCATATATTTACACAAGTGTCAATCTGATGTTACCCCTTCTGGCTCCAATAGCCAGAATAAGTAAATGTGGTGGGGAGGTCTTTGACAGAGAAATGTACCTTCCAGTAAATGCTGCTAAGCTCTCTTTTATAATACAGTGGAAAACTGATGCATTACCTAATGCAACTGTTTGAAGGTTTTTTTCCCACTGGATTACAAGACGTTATTTTGGAAGTTTCAATGAGACTTTTTTATTGCTAGGATTTTCTTATTAAAAGTAAACTACAAACTATATGAGCAGGTCCCATTTTGTAGTTCAGTAATTGTTACTTTTTTCTGTTTTGCACTCCCTCTTGCAAAATTTTCTTCTTTTACATTTCCCTACTCCTGTTTAAGATTTTTCAGCACCAAAACATAGATCATGCCTTAATGAGTCTGACTACTTAATGAGGAGTGTCATGGTCTGCTATCAGTGATGATTCTTAGAAGTGAGTGTGGTCACATTTCAGCTGCATTTAACACCTGCCAGCTAATGACTTTAGCCCTGCTGGGAAAGGTCTTACAGTGGGGAGCTGCTGCCTGGATTCTAGTCAAGGTTCAGGGATTCAGGAGCCTGCATCTATTTAAGTGCCTTGGAAATTTATCCAAATTAGTCTTGCCATCTTACAGACAGGAATAGAAAGGCAAAAGGCCATGCCCCAGGCAAGACGTAGCATTAACTTTTTAATGGAAAGGGTAAGAGTTCAGCTGTTCCAGCTCTTTCTGCTGCTGCTCCTTTCCCTTTCAGAGTTCATTCCCTTGTTGCTGTCTTGACAAGGGGATCTTGAGGACTAATCAGTCAGTTGTGTTAGTGGAGCAAAAACTTTGAAAGTAATGAATGTAAATGTATGCACTGAGGTCTTCTTGCAGTCAAAATGTTATGCTTTCAATTCTAACTTTGAATGTCAAATATTTAGAGATTTGAAGCTACAGCTGGATGTTAAAAGCTCAGTAAATATCAAAGTAACAAGTATTTTCATCTACCTGTTTTTGAAAAGCAATTAGGAAAATCTGAATTATTTAAAAAAGGAAGGAAATTTAGAGCAGAAACTCATCAAGGGTGACCTGTAGACACAACTGATGGAGATTTTCAGTAATACATGTTCATTGCATCTATTTGCTTAATTGGTACTTCAGATATCCAGCAGGAAATGAATGTTGACTCTTTTAATCAACGCTGTCTGGAAGTAGAAGAAAAAGATCACAGGGGTAGTTAAAACATTATCCACATCTAAACTATATTGAGAATGGGAAGTAGGGGACTCAAGGGTGTCGATCATGGGATATGTATCTGTCTAATATATACATGCACACAGAGATTTTTAACTTAATGCAGGGCTGAAAATGAGTTGAATGAATGAAAATTATCAGGGTCAAATCACATGACAGCTAGTGCTAATTGGCACTGGGAAGGAGACTGAGGCATTCTTCTCCCCTCTCATGCTGCTGTATCTTTACTGACACCGTTTGTCTCTGTGCTTTTGTAAGTAAATAAACGGTTGGAGAATTTTTACTTGCTGGTGGCACTGGGAGACTTGGTCGAGCCCAGAGGAAGGTAGCTCATGGGGTGGGTGCGCTCATCTTCCCAAGGTGCCAAAATAAAACCCTGGCACTGGTGAAAGCGCTGGTAAACGCCCTCTAGTGACAGCGACAGGGTTTGCTGCTTGTTTAGGAAAGGACATGAAGCTGAGGCAATTATTGCCCGGCCCTTTCTCATGATTAATTAAAGAAATATTATGGGGCCACTAAAAAAACCACAGCAACCAACCAAACAAAAAAGCCCCCCCCCCAAGAAAACAACATCAAGCATATATTTTTTTATACATTTTAAAAGTGTGAATTCCACTGTTATAACCCAGTCTGACAACCCTGAAGAGAAGGTGGTGAGGAAAGTGCCTGATTTATTACAATCATCTGGATCAGAGGAACTGCGCAGTAAATTCCACCCACCTAAGTACTGAAATGTATCTTAGTTTGAAATGTGGAAGAGAAAAATGTTTCTGTGCCTGACAGTGTTCTTACAAATGGTGTTTCTGCAGCGATGGTGCCTCTTTAGGAGCACTAGGCACATTTGTATGTTAACTTGGATAAATCACAGGCAGAGGTGTCCAGTTTTCAAGAAACAGTTGCTGATAGATCAGTGCTTCTAGCTGAAATGCAGTGTAGCTGTTGTGGAAAGAGTATCCCTGAAGAAAGAAACCCCCATTTAGCTAAGTGGTACATACATATATATATATATATATATATATATTATAAGTATTTACTCAAGCAGCTGCTTAAATTTAGTACTCTACATGTAAACTAGAAAGTAGCACCACCTCAGACCTTGTATGTGCTTTGTGACATAAATGTATGAGATAAAGACTTGAAAGATTGTAATCGTGTGCCGCTCGCTATTTATTCTCCAATCTTTTGTCTGTAGTATTTTCCAGTAGGTTATCTTCAAAGCAGCTGGTACAGTGCACATCTTGTTTGTCAGTGCTAATTCTCTCTGCCTTTGCAGTCTTTTTAACATGTGCAGATCATTGATGCTGCATATGATAAGAGAATACAATTTTTATTCCTTAAGTAGGTTGTCAGGGAAACTTGCTACCAGGCTTATTTATATTTATATATTGCAAGATGCTTTAGCCACTGTGTATGAAGGAACTAGGGATTCAGAGGTATTTTGATTTTTCTATATGTGATTAACTTTGCTGAAAAGTACCAGAAGCATTTGGCTTGGCAAATATAACATAGTTCCAAAATCAAATAAATGAATCCTGTTTTCTTTATATAGTTCCTGCCATCTTGTCTTCAGTGTGAATTGTCACAGAGAAAATGGATTATCATAGCATATTGAGCAAGTCTAACTGCCTATTAAGCTTTAGAGAGAAGGCTGAAGTCTATGTGCCTGTCCTACCAAATGTGGAGTGCTGTGGCCTTGAACTAGGAACAGATGTACACATGAGCTTCATAATGGTCGAGGGAGTGGTACTGAATGATGGTAAAGGCTTTGGTAGGCTGGAGCTATGATGCAAAACATAAGCTTAAGTGAGTCGAAAGCTTAAGGGACTTGGAAAAAAGGTATTTAGAATCAGCTGAAATTCATAGGCTGTGTTTTGCTGATGGCTTCTAGCAGAAACACTTGTTGCATTTATACTAGGTCCATGCATCAATGAAAAAAATCAAAAATTCATTCAGTTTGACTGGTCGGAGTCTAATTTATAGTTCCCTATGAGTGGGTTATTTCTTCTGTCCTGAAGATATGGAAATTCTGATTTATTAGATATGCGTCAGATAGCTCAGCTGTGAAAACTATCCATCAGAAATGCTCCGGTATGCAAAAACCTGACTGTGGTCTATTGTCTCAGCCCGTACAGCAATAATGTACATTGTGTAGACTTGACTGGCCCCTGCACTGTGCCATGTGGAATCCTCCTAGCTCAGAAGGGCTGGTAGGTAGTTTCGTTGGGTATGCAGTTGCTGTATTTGTAAAGTGACTGTGGCGCAAATGAGCACTGGCAGGTGGGAATGGCTGCCCTGCTTGGAGACTGCCTGCACCCCAGGGGAATTGGGGGTGTCTTGCCTTGGATAAATGAAGATGAAGGTGTGAAGCTTTACCAAGGTCATGGCTACAGAGTATATAAAACCCCCCAGTAAAACATGTACTTTTTATTGTATATAAAAGGCTGAGTCCTCCTCAGTTTCTGCTTTCCTGAGAGGAAACTTGCGCTTGGTGCCAGGCACAAAATAACTTTCACACTTCATTCCGCTGCCTGGAAGCAGCAGCATGGCAGCACTGAGGTAGGGCTGTGGCCACCTGGCAGGGCTGCTGTGCAGCACTGGGCTCTCAAGGATGTGCCTTCTGCAGGACAGAGGCTGTGAGGTATATTTTTACTCCTTTCTGTTAAAGAACAAGTAGCCTTTAAAGATACAAATAGAATCATAGAACTGTTTGGGTTGGAAAGGACCTTAAGATCATCTAGTTCTAATCCCCTGCCATGGGCAGGGACATCTTCCACTGGACCAGGTTGCTCAAAGCCCAATCCAACCTTGCCCTTAATATTGCCAGGGATGGGGCAGCCACAGCTTCCTTGGGCAGCCTGTTCCAGTGCCTCACCACCCTCACAAGTAAAGAGCTTCTTCCTTATATCGAATCTAAACTTCCCCTGTTTAAGTTTTAACCCCTTACCCCTTGTCCTACCACTACAGTCCCTAATGAAGAGTCCCTCCCCATCACCCCTGTAGGCCCCCTTCAGATACTGGAAGGCTGCTATGAGGTCTCCATGCAGCTTTCTCTTCTCCAGTCTGAACAGCCCCAACTTTCTCAGCCTGTCATCATACAGAAGGTGCTCTAGAATCAGTTTTGATAGGGGCACATCTCTGAATCCCTGAAGTTCCATGGCTGAGGTTAATGACAGCTGGATTGGGTCCTGGGTCTGGAGGCAATGTGTCTGTTAGACACCTTCATGTTTGTTAAAGAGCTGTTTCTTTCTCCACCTTTTTCAATCTTTATAGATCTATTGATAGATCACAGCCAAGAGTACACCTTTCCTTGCATTCTTTTCGAGTTTGGTTCAATGGCTCATGTGTAAATTTTGCCATCTTGAGTGGATATTTTTGGCTTTCCTTACCTCCCTCCCTGCTTTCTTTTTAAGAAAATTCTAATTTTAATTTGGGAAAAAATCTTTAATTTTGCATGCTGACTGTTGGGAGCATATGGATCTTTAATACCCTTCACAGCGTGACAATTCATATTTATAAAGTAAATTAGGAGAACTTCAAAGGAGGTGTTGCTGCTTTTTATGTCAATAACAAGTTTTATTTTCTAAACTTGTTGAGAATGTATTTACATAACAGAAGCCTGCAACTTCCTAGGAGTTCCTGGACCCTAACAGGGCAGTGCTACATTGCTTTCCAGTTTCTGGAGGGCTTCTCCCTGTTTGAAATTCCTTTATTTTTCTGTAGGAGCCTTTGTACTGTTGGCAAGCTGTCAGTGTAGCCTTCCTGCGCTGGCAAATCTCAAAGGCCTCTACAAAGCTGGCCACAGTGGAGCTATGCCACCCCCAGATGAGGTGGGTGGAGGAGAGTTTAGGAAAAAGCTTAGCACAGACATAATCCAAGATGATAGCGATCCTGCAGGTGCTTCACATCAGTACATACGCAAGGTATGTGGTCTGAGTGCTTTGTCCATTGCAGTGGTGCTGATCTCAGGATGTCCTATGCACAGGATGTGGTGGCAACAGCCCCCTACAGACTGCACGCTGCCTGAGCCATCCATCCCATCTTATCCAACCCAGCATGTGGATATGTTCCCCTTGCTGTTTCCAGTCCTGGGGGGATGCTGGATGTGCCAGCCTGAATTTTGGGCGTTGGTGATCCATTCAAAGGTGGCATATTCCCAAAAATCCAGACAGATTTATCTGTAATGGTATGACCAGTCTCTATTTCAGCATTTCTGATGTGTGTGTTGCTGTAGTTCCAGGCATTGAAGGGTACGACGTTCACAGTGGTTCCTCTTTGGATAATATCTGTGGGTTGTCTTTTTTTGCATCAGGGAGCAGAAAGGAAAATCAGAGATGAAGAAAGGAAGCAGAACAGGAAGAAAGGCAAAGGCCAGACATCTCAAGCCTCGTGTAATAACTGTGAGTAAGATGGGCCTTTCTGGTTTGGGACTAAGTCACAATTAACGTGCCTCCTCTCATAACCATGTTGCTCTGTGATCCTCCTAGCAGCGGAAGGGAAGTTGAGTGCACTCCCTCTGCAAAAAAAGAGCGATATCACCTTCTTCAAAACAATGGCTGACCTGGATTCCCAGCCAGTTCTCTTCATACCGGATGTTCACTTTGGAAACCTACAAAGAACTGGACAGGTAGGAAATGATAATGAGAGGAGCTGGGGCCCACTTGCTGTCTGGCTCTTGTGCTCTGAGGCAGGGTTTAGGAAAATAAATCACTTTTCACAGGGACCCCTTGTTTGAGCTCTTGTTTTGGTAAATGTAGCTCCTGGCGAGTCACTTAAAAAGACCTTGCAAAAGACAAGCGCCTTTCCGAGTTCTGAGTGAGAAAAAGGAGTTTATGCTTCATTAAAAACCAACTGGTTTGTGTTTGTTACGGTTTTGACGTTCTTTTGCTGAGAAGAAAGAATGAAAGAGTCAGAAATTTTGAAATAGGAGGTTGTGACTGAATGTGCTATATGGCTTGATGAGATAAAGTGCCACCTTGTGGTAGCAGTCATCCCCCTCCCTGTCGCGACGGAAAACAAAAGACCAAACTCCTACATGGGTAAGGAGGTCCAGAGGAGGCTCACTAAACACCACTGCCCATTTTGTATCAGCATCACCTGGAGATCTGGGAATTTCCTGGCAGAAAATGTTTTCACTCTACAAGTAAAAATCTGTCATGCTAATGTTAATATTTAGTATTGGCAGTCATTATCACCAGTGAAGTAGTCTTGGCTGACTTGACTTTTTAAGACATGCTTTATTACTTGCTGGGAAATTGCAAACCTGAATTGAAGGGTCAACTCTGACAATTTTTTGAATATGAACCTGTTATTTATTGACAACTTGGAGAGTAGAATGAGACCTTTATGCATGTGTTTATAAAGACAAATAGTAGATGAGGAAATTTTATATGCGTCTTGCTGCCAAATATTAAAATAATGAAGTTTAAATGATACTGAGTGATGGAATTGTCATTTATTTTAAAGCAGTGAGATTTGTGGTAGAGCGAAGCACAGGGAGTGCAGACACTGCAGTCGCAGCTGTCACTGACTGACTCTCCAAAATTGGAAAGACACCCACTCACATACATATCAGTGCTGGTACCTTCTGTCCTCATGGCTTTCAAACCAGAATGTGGATTTGTCTCAAAACAGGAGAAGGTGGAAGCATTCCTTGGTATATATAATCCTGTAAATAATTTTCTAAACTAAGTCGAAGATGCCCTTGTTTGCTAGCTCTTGGGCAATGTTCAACCCTGGCTCTTCTGCTGCTGTAGAAGTTGAAGTTTTGGCATTCTTGCAGTCCTGAACTTGCCAATTTAATTGTATATTACTTAACATAAGAATGATGTATTATGATAACAGTTTACTATTTATGAATGTTCTATCATGAAAGTGTAGCCACTTTCAGGTCCTGATCACAGAATGAGTTACAGACCTCAGCTTTGCACACAGACAACTCTGAGCTATCATCATTGTACAGGTTCAGAAGTGAAGAGCTGTGTGTGCTCTTGAATGTTGCCAGCACAAGTGCTGGAACCTGCCTGAGATTCCCTGCTCTGCCCCAGCAGAACATGGGGTTTTGGTGCCCTGCTTTGCCCTATGCTTGCACAGTAACTCAGCAGCTGGAATGCTGGTGCAATTGTTGGTGCAGACCCTCGGTGCAGGCACGTTGTGAGGAACTTGACTGATTATTCTGTAAACCTTTTGACAATAGACTGTGATTTTATGCCTCCCCTGCTGTTAGCTGCATTTGCTGCTGTTGTCAGTTTGGTCCCAATGACTGTGAGCTATACTGATTTGCAGAAAGCAGTGGTCTGGACTTGAGCTTCTGCCCACAGCACAGTTCTGGTACAGTTCAGCTCTACCATTAGTAATTGTATTTCCATTAGGGCTGTAGTTTATATATTAGTCTTTATAGTTTAATTAGATTTTTAGACAATATTAAATACATACAGAAAGCTTGTGAGTGTTGTGGCTATAATTGTATTAGGTGTCATTCAGGTGAGCTGTGATCTAATTTAGAGGATCGTAAAATAGCTGGGAAAATGATATAAACCAGGGAGAGGGCAATGTCTGTCAAAATGCTTCAGTATTTTTCCACTAGATGATATTCAACAGCAGCGTTTTTAAGCCACACTTTTTCCAGATCACAATTAGAGCTAGAAATGTTTGTATTTTATAGAAGGAAAAGGATTTTTAACAGATAAAAAAACTGCAAACCACTTTTTATGTTTTCTCCATTTTGAAGTTATTCTGATAAGCAGGTGCCTGAGTTTTGGGAATAACTGGTTTTTTTTATTTCCCCACCCTTCTAGGTTTACTATAATACAGATGATGAGAGAGAAGGGTAAGACATTTATTGTTTCACAAACTTTGCAGTTAGCAGTTCAAACTCATAGAAAACAGACACAAAACATGAAATCAGATAAAGCTGATCCCCTTTCTCCCCCTTCCCTCATGTTCCCCACATGCTAACAGTAGGCAACTAATATGGAGAACTGGTAGAAGGAGGTTTATTTTATGGTAACTTTGTTTTCCTTCAGGTGAGCTGGCTGCTTTTTTATATCTTTTTTTTATTACATTTCCAAGTAAAACATTTTAAAGAACCCTAAGGTTCAATACAGGGACAGGATAATATATTTGATAATAAAATACTTACATATATAAATGAAGCACTGAACTTCCTAAAGCATTCCTGAAAGCTGTTTAGCAGTGCTCATGTGCACATGTGTGTATGTATGCAACAAACAGGAACTGCAGAGAGAATACCCAAGTGTTCCAGAAAAGAAAGGTGGAAAGAGAAGAGGAGATCCTGGGAAGGGAGATGGTTGGAAATGGGAGCATCCATATTTGGCTTTGGAGGGACTGGAGGAATTGCACAAAGTCCATGAAATAGTTATGAAATAAAGGCTTCAATGTGCGGCTAAAGTTCAGCTAGTGTTAACTGCAATGTGTGCAAGCTTGAATCCTGAGTGAGCACCCTCAAATCTGAGAGCTTGGAGTAACAGCTGGACTCACGTAAGCTTGCAAGTGTCCTGTGGCAGGGATTGGCCAGGCACCTGCAGCTAGCATTGACTTGAAAACACGAGGCCCTTTTTTTTGTTTTATGAATCTAATGTTGTTCATAAGGCTCACAGTGGAATTAGGGAAACAAAGGCTTTGAACTAAGCACATTGCTTCAGTTCTCTCCTCCAACACTAAAAGGAGGGAACGAGTTCTGACATAGTTATGCCAAAGGGAGGGGGCAGCTGTAGTGCCTTCAGCTTCCCCAGCAGAGCATTTCACAGCCTTGGGCTGGATCTGGCCCAGCATGTTACGCTTTTGAACTTGCTGGCATGTATGGTCTTTGACATTAGAAATATTGCTGGTGTTACCTGAGGCTGTCTCCTTGACCCCACAGAGGAAGTGAATCAATGGGTAAATATGGGTTCAGGTCCTTAGCTGTTTCTTCCCCCCCGCCCCCTTCCCTCAATATTTAAACAATTGAGAGCCTTTGGGGTTTTCCAAATAGTGTGTAATGTTGGAATGTGTTTCTCTGTCACCTGTCCCAGCCAATCAGTTTGGGCAGTTTTGAGAGGGCTGGAAAGTTCAGTTAAGCATCAGAAGCTAAATACTTGCAGTCTCTGGTCTGGTGCTACTTGAGTAGCTAGTGGGGTTTTTGCCAGAGTACAAAGTGAGTCATGACTGCTGCTGTTGTGAGTGGGTCTCCTCCCCTGCTGGGAGCACAGTTACTGATATGGTCCCTGTTGTGATTTTTCTAGTAGCAGTGTCCTGGTCAAAAGGATGTTCCGGCCTGTGGAGGAGGAGTTTGGTCCATCCCCTTTGAAACAAATGAAAGAAGAAGGCCTGAAAAGAGGTAATAATTCTTAACTGCTAGAAATAATGCTGTGGTACTCATGACTTCAAGCTGGGAAGGGCAGGTGTGGCTCAGACCAACTCAGTTGTTAAACACTAGTCAAATGCGGGGTAGATGGGAGAAGAGATCATTACACCTGCCAGTGTACAAGGAGATGTTTAAACAAGCCCTAGTAAGGTCTTAGAATCAGAAAACAAATTAGAAAGGACTGTGCTATCTCAAGAAGGGATCAAGACAAAAGTGTATATAACATATAAAAAAAACGAGAAAGCTTCTTGATCCTTGGCCAAGCTACATAGTTCATAAATGTTCCAGTAGCAAATCTGTGGTTGTCTATTTTTAACTTTTGCTCATCTTTTCTGTTCTGGATGGGATCACAAGCAAATATGCAGGATGCACTGGGTCAAATACAGAGACCTAACACAAGCAAGCTCCTGCTGACTGCAGGCTTGAATCAGCCTGAATAAAACCTTAGAAATTTCTTAACAAATTAGAAATATAAGGCATGGAGAGACATCTTCCAGCAGACCTAATTGAATTGTTAAGAGTTTGCTTCCCTTAACTGGGGTTAAGTGAACTACCCTGAGTGAATATTATGGTCATGTTTCATATGCTATACCAATTCCTGTTTTCCAGTCTGCTACAATGAAGCCTAAGTTGAGTAAGTAACATTGAAGCAATGGTTTAGGTATTGCTTTTAAACTTTGCACTAAAGGTAAGGATAAGCAGACAGTGATTTTGTCCACAAAATCTGCTGTGTGTACAGTCACTTCCAGTGCAGTGCTATAGGTGACAACTTCCTACACTGCCACAGTTAGACAGCCTGGAGGATATTTGCCATTCCTTCAATCTTGTGAGTTCTGTCATGTGTGTTTGTTGGAAACTCCAGGATTTTGACCAACTTGTGTAACTCAGACTTGCAAATATTTTGAGGTTCCCACATCCGTTTGTGAAACAACAAAGCAACAAGGTAGAGAAGTGAGCTGAATTGATCTTAGCTGCACCATTTGTAAGACTCATCTGAGCTTTAGAAACAGTTCCTATGAGCATTTGCAAAGTTTCTCTGTTGGTTAGGGTGGTGTTCTTGAACTAGTGGAAGCATACAGGGTTACAGGATGGAGACTGATATCTTCCTGGACTAAATGTGAACATACTCTTGTTTTAAATAAATCCTTGATGAATTATGTGAGGTCAGCTCTGAGTGCAGACTTGCATCTGGCTGACTCAAGGTGTTGACCAAATTCACACTATCAGGGCTCCATCAAGCAGAATTGCACAGCCACAAGGGCTACATAAAGAACTGTCAGAACTGGAAGCCTGGAATGTTGCCTGCAAGAAGGTATTGGTTTGCTTTCTGCCCTTTGCTGTGGTAAGTTGTTTTAATATCACCCAGGATTTGCAATCATTTCAAGGGGAAGATTTCAAACAAAAAAAAGTTTTTCAACTAGTGGCAAAACTATGCTAAGTAATTAAAACCAGGAGAGTCACGGAACCAGGGAAGCTGGAGGATGCTCTCTTCACATCCCCTTCCTGTTCAGTGTTTCTTGCAATTTGGACTATGCTGGCTGGAGGCCAAGCCTCTTTCAGCGTGGCCTTTGCTCTTTGAGCTTCCTGCCATAGGGAATCCTGCATCTGGGATTGTACTGGTGGAGTAAAGCTCAGCTGAATCTGCCCATTTGACGATACTGTCTTTGCCATAGGAGTCATCAGGAATTAAAATGTTTTGCTGTTTTTCCCAGGCTTAGCCATACCAGAAACTGGTTTTGTTCTCCCAGATTTATTTGGTCCGGCAGAACCTGTAACTCTTAGAAGAGCATGTATAGATGAAGCACTGGTGTAATCTTTGAGAGAGAGCAGGCCTGATATGTGAAAATATGAATTAAAAGCAGTGTAATCGCAAGGTGGCTCTTTATCGGTAAGTATCACGCAGTGAGGTGTTCAGGCCCAGCTGAAGAACTGAAGTGACAGTGTATGGCCTCGCCTCTGCCTGATGGACCTGATTGTAGTACTCTCTGGTGGAATCAAAAACATTAAGGGGCAGCATGCAAGAGAACAGGTCCGAAGGGGTTTGCAAACCATTGGTAAAACAAGGTTCATATTCTCGGGTAGCTGCGTCTTTGTGGATTCATCTCCGTGACCTCTAAGGGGGATACAAGTGCTCAGTGCAGAAATGTAGAGTATGTTAATCTGCAGCAAGTGTGCAATGCAGCTAGTCACATGGCTAGACTTGTGGCTTGTTCCCGTTTTGAGTTCTCAGAGTTTTCAAATCACATTCCCTTTTGGATTTTATAGGGAGTTTCCTGTTGATTATAAATCCAGCAGCTGCATTACAGATCAGGGAGATTTCCAGTCCTCTAGTTCTCAGCTTGAAGAAAGCCATATTTTTGTCTATATATATATATTGCAAACTGTATTATTAAAGTGAGCACATCTACAGCCTGGTGACAGCAGGATCAGGGGGCATCAAGTATGAGTTGTATCACATTGTCACAACCATGGCTTGGCATTCAGTGGCAATGCTGCTGAGCCCAATAGAGCCTTTACAGCCCCTTTTCTTCCATCCTGGCTGTGCTTGCTGCTGCATGCCAGCTGGCCTTCTCTCAGTGGTTATCCAGCATGAAGGCTTGTGGGGCTGCATTGTAAGCTGAAGCAAGGACCTGATTTGTCTCAAGAACAACTCAGAAAAAAGGGTTGTTTTTTCACTCACATCTGCTGTTTGAGAGAGTACATCACCCAGGAAAATTCACTGAGACGGGCCAGAGTAACAGAGCATAAGGGCAGGGATGAGACAGGAGCTTCTTAAGGCATCACTGTCACCAGAAGTTATTTATGGAGGAGTGCCCTAATGAATCAAAGCTGGGATTTTCACACCTGTTGGGGGAAATTAAAAACCAACAACCCCCCATATGTTTACTAATCCTGGCTCTCTGTGTGTGCAATAGTGATTCAGGTTTCCCGTTATCCTTGTAATGGATCCATCACTGAGCATAGCGTTGCCTGACATGCCAAGCACAAGAGATTTAAAGCTCAGCACATGGGTTGTATGATGTCCCCAACTTTAACCTCAGATCGAGTGATTTTTTGCTCCATTCAGATATGTTTGTAATTATTAATTAATTGCAGAGGTCCACGTGATTGAAAAGCCAGGAGTTACAGGACAGCCCTCTAATCACAAGGAAATAATTATTGGTGAAAGTAGCACATTAAGTGCTTGCTCATGCCAGTGAATGCATCAGACCCAGTAAAATCTAACTACTGATGCAGATTTTTTTTGTTGTTCTCTTACATTCTGACAATTATTTAGGTTGTGACCTGACAGTATCTCAGCTTTTAAGCCCTTTAAGAGGACACTCTCAGACAGGTCCCAAAGAACTATTAAAACATGGGTGAATAGGATGTTGGCTCTGCATGCCTGTGATAGCAGCTTGAATTAGATTTAAAACCCCACCATTATCCTGCACATCTGGTTTGTAACCCAAGGCAGGAAACTGATCTGCTCATGTGTTGCATCTTTATTTTCAATCATTTCAAAACCTGGGCAAAGAAGATACAAAGAAGATACATTTCTCTGCAAATGGGCCTGACTCCACCCTGCTACGGTCTTGACCTGAGAGTTAGGTTCCAAACAACTGCTTTTGCATGAAAAAATACTGTCATCTCAGTTGTTTAATCTGCAAGTCATCCATTGAGTTACCCGGTGAAGATATCTTTTGGACCACAGGTTTCAAAAGACATTTTTTTCTGTGTACGAAAAAATGAGAGATGATTACCAATGTAGTTTCTCACTCAGACTTAAAATACCTAACAGTGCATGCATGTTTGTACCTCACATGCAGCACTGCTATTTGAAAAGGCAGTTTATTTAGGGAACAAAATAAGTTCTGGAACATCTTAGTTAACTTGCTACTTGATCCGTCATGCGAGATTGCGCCTAACCACTTCTCTAGTGTTTATGTTTATTTGCTTTGTAGCTGCCTGCTTTGCTTTTGTCATGTCAGCAAGTTTCTCCCTCCTACCTGTACAAGTCAGAAGGAGAACAGAGCTGGAGAGGGCAGAGGACTGTGTCTGTGAGCCACTGAGACTCAGCAGGACATCTGAGGGAGGAAGAGGATATTTTCAGGGGTACAAATGGCATTCGGGTACCTGAGCAGGTGTGGGCCTGCCTGCCAGCTGTGCTTTTGAATGTCTCCCCTGTAAAGTCTCAAATGACTTTGGACTTGTTCTTTCCAGTGTTTATTTTCAGACTGGCCAGGTCCATTTGCAGTCATCTGGGTGGTCATGCCAGAGAACTGTTTCTTTTCCTTGTTGTTGATTTTGCTTTCAAAGGCTCACCCAAAGGTAAACCAGACTTAGCTTTTCTGAATGTCCTTTCCCAGCCTTTTGCATGAAGCCTGGAGAAGTGCAAGACGAGACACAGATTTAGAAAGACCTAGCGTGTGTGATTTGCTCTGAGCCAAGGACAGGTCCCCAGTGCTTTTTAGTTTCTCTGGTTTCAGTAAATGGAGGTTGAAATTCTGGAAGATATAGCTTCCTTACATTAAATTTGCTGCATCTTCTTTGTGTGCTTTCAAAACAACTATGATTTGTCTTCCCCATTTAGATCACTAATGATATAAGAGCGTATCTTTTTAAAGTGCAGACTGTCTTCAGTGCTTCATTTTATCTGACATGGATTAATATTTGTTTTTCTACACAGTGTGGGTTGTTTCATCTGTTCAATTGACTGAACCTGCTCCAAGTCTGACTTTTTTTATTTCAGTGCTTTTGTATGTGAGGAAGGAGACAGATGAGGTGTTTGATGCTTTGATGCTGAAATCACCCACAGTAAAGGGGCTAATGGAAGCGGTAAGTATCTGATGTCCTCACATTGTTTGTCTTTCTTAGCAAGAAAATCTTGTGGCTTTCGATGTATTATTGAGATAAAACATAATCTAAAGATGAAATTATTCTCAAATACATTTAAAGCAAGAGGCTTTCTGAGGCACGCCTCTGAAATGCTGGCATGTTCTGAATTCAGTGCTGTAAGCAAGTTGCTGGGATTAAATAGTGTTGTAGAGCTGATCTATTGAAGGCCTGTGCCTTGAGGAATGGAGGTAATTAACCAGTGTCAGGAATGTAGAGAGGTGCAGGCTCCATTGTCTGAAATGTTTCTTTCGGAACTGATTATTCTGTTCAGTTGCCTCTTGAATCTTCTGTAACGCCCATTGGTGTGTTCACAGTCGTCTTTTAAAGAAGAGGCCCAAGGATGCACTTTTTCTGTGTAAATCTATATGGCTTTTGTGCAATTGCTGTTCTTAGCATATCAGAGGCAGCTGCTGAGCCAATGCAGACTAGTCATGCATATATCTTCAGTCTGCTTCCTTCGCTAGCCCTCACTCAGAGAGTGATCTACCTACCAGCCTGCCTCTTTGCTCCTTCTTTGACTTGAATTTTTTGCTTGCTACCTATGAATTGTAATAATTTCCGCATTTAATCCTGTTTGTAGGAGCTGAAGGCTAGTAGATATGTGAAATTTGGGGAGGGAAGAGTTAAGAAGCAACCACATGTCTCAGTTCAGTGAGGGGACTAATGTGTGACTGATGTGAGACCCAAGCTGATTTCCAGCCTTTCTTACATGTAGCGGAGAAGGCAGGAATGGATGAAAGTGTCCCTAGAACTTTCCCTAGCACTGTCCCTAGAAAGTTCAGCTGAGTGCTAGAAGTGTGTGTACTCGTACTCATAAACTGTCACAGGGTCTTGTTGCATGTGGGCACTTCAAATGCAGTAAAGACTGAGTTACTTGGTCAGTATTTGGCCAGTAGCAGAAGGCAAAAAAGATTTGTGGGTTAGTGAAGTTGTTTAAAGCACCAATTCAGATCAGGGTATCTCTGGGGAGAGTCAGCTGCATTCTAAGGATGTCCTAACCATGCTTTCGCCAACACTGTTAGCTGTGACTGCAGCTCAGTTGTTACGCAGAACACACATGTGTAATAACAGCCAGGATTCACTTGAAGAGGCTGAAGTCTGATTCATGATAAGCTGTAACATAGTTCCATCTTGTCTCTGTATGGAAGTTAAAAGCATGTTATAATCCTTCTATAAGCCTTCAAGCTAACATGAATATTTTATTTCCATTAGTCTGTGCCTCTCCATGCCTATTCTCCAGCCACTGTGTAACATAAAAACAAAGCTGGTGCAGAAGCGGGAGAGGTTTCTGCATACCTCTGTAAGCATAGCTACTGACTCAGTGGCATGTTTTCAGTACCAGAGAAATCTGATCTGTTGTGAAATGTCCCAGTTCACTGGAAGGAACACATTCAGAAAATCTGAATTCTCTTTGGTAGGATAACATGGATAAATCAATGCCAAAAAGCTGTCAAACTGCATAATCTCAGAATTCTCTCTACAGTCATTTCAGCATGCATGTGATTTTGTAATTGTGCACATCCTAAATGCTTAACTCTAAATTCAGTATAAGAACTTAGAAACTGAGGCTCTGAATATTACAGAGCCCCAGCTATGAGAGACAGCACCAAGGATCTGGAATCATACCCTCCTCCTTTGTTCATGGATTTTACTTGTTTGTGTGTGTGTGTTTTGGTTTTGTTTTGGTTTGTGGGTTTTGGGGTGGTGTTTTTTTGTTAATCACTATTCCTGGTCTGTGGCTTTCTCTTAATTTTCCATGATTAATGATACTGCTTTCTCAGATACTATGTTTGTTTTATTCTGAACAATTGATGTAATGAACAATTAGATTCCTTCTCTGCTTGCTTTCTTCTGGCAGATATCTACAGGTCTCAGGTTTCAGAGATACAGTACGTCTCAGAATGTGATGCAGCTGTTTGGCTTTTTAGATGTTTGCATCCTACTCTGGTCAGTCTTGATCAACAGAAAATAGTGAAACAATTGCCCGTCACAAACCATCACACACATGTGATGACTGACCAGCTCTAAATCCTGCTTTCAGCCTTATCTAAAACCAGGTTAACTTTGTGGATCTCACTAGACCCCCAGTCTTACATTGTGCAGATTCATAGATTAATTCAAATTACAGAAGGCAATCTAAACTGGGAAATTCAAGCATCTCCCGAAGTCTTGCTAAAATTACAAGTGACCAGCTGAGCTTAACAGAGCTTGCTTAGACCAAAGTTTCATAGATACCTGTCTATGCATGTATCTTTCCAAGCAAAGGAGGGCAACAGACTGGACCATTCCATAGAAATAAGTTGGCAAAGATGTTTTCCTGCACGCCTCAACCAGTCCCGATGTTGCCCTATCTTCCCAACTCCAGCATAGAAAGCATTTCTGGTGTCTTCTGCAATCAGATATGTGCTGCAGACAGACTTGCCATGCCAGGGAACTGCAGCCAAAGGGATACCCTGACCATTATTTCAGTGCCACTCTGAAGGCTGTCCCACTGTTGTCAGTCATCCTAAGAGAAGGAAAGAATTCTTTGCTCAGGTGACTGAAGAATGATGATGGAGATTATAAAGGAAAATATTCCTCCAAATAAAGATATATTTTTAAATGTTATTGTAGCCTGCTTGGGGCCAGGTGAGAAATCCTGTTGTTTTATATGGAAGTTGGCAGTAGTGGTGTTCCCCCTGAGTTGGCAACAAATGTGTTTCAAAAGAGGGTGTTAAGTGAGATGCCCTAGCAGATGCTAGCTCTCTGCTTTCTCAGATTTTGCAACAGGACTTAGCACATTTGCACTGGAGACTCATTTTCTGAGCCTGTAAGGGGGAGGCCCTCCCATACCACTACTTCCAGTCTTGCTTCCCCAGCTTGCCGTTCGGTATAATTGGTTGAATCCCTAGGGGTTGCTGAGAAATGTGCTTATTCAGTCAGCTGGAAGTCTTTCACAAAGCTCACTAATCCCTCCATGTTATATAAATCCTACACCTGTCATAGGCAGTGTGACAGGGAAGGCTTTCTCAGACCTACCACTCATGGCTTATGTAGGAAGTGGTGTCCCAGAGTCCTAGACCACTTTGAGCAACATTTGGAATGTGTGTTAGGTATCCCAAATATCCTAAGGAAGTTTTATGCTGGAATGTGCAGAATGTTGTATATTAGCTGCTATTAAATCTTCTTGGCTCAGGAATGTTTCTTCTTCCTTGTTTATTTGCCTGGAGTCAGTTAGTAGTGTCTTCAAGTACCGATCTCTACAATACCACTACAATATCACTTCAGAGTTATTAACCCAGAGAGGAAGGTATATTGTTTCCTTATGTTTGCACAATTGTGGCATTTTCTGCAGTTTCAGGTTGCAGTTTTTCTCTGATGCATGTAATGAAGGATTTTTTTCAACAATCTGGTGATTGCGGAAACTTTTATTATCACTTTACATGAAAGCTGAAATTTAGGGGTACAACAAAAATACAGATACTAAAGTTCAGCACCAGATTGCTGATCTGGTGTCATTTTGTTCTTGGTAAGCAAAGCTAGAGGGTGAGAAAGAAAAAGAGGAGAACATGAAAATTTCTCTGAGAACTTTTCCAAGACAGTCAAGATTTACCCTCACAGTGTGGCACCTGGACACCCCAGAGGAGTCACCAGTCTTGGGTCAGGCAGCTGCAGCTGGACAACGCAGGATGAGGCATTGAAGGAAGAGAGACTTGGAAGAATAGTGGTAGACAGGGGTAGAGTGTGAGTGAAGGGCAAGGTGTGGTTACCTACACAAGTACTTCTGGCTAGAGATAGTTGATTCCTTCTACTGGGGATCATGCCTGTGGGCCCTCCCTTGGCTTTATGTGTGTAGGCTGGGTCAGGAGTTCACAAAGACTAGGTGGGGCACGCTCTCCCATCTGTGATGAAGAGTAGCTGGAATAGGTTAGAGTATCCTACACAGGGTTATGACAAACCCTGGGTTCAAATCACTGTTATTCTGCCCTCTTTGGAGCAAAGACTTGAACTTGCTTTAGATAAGGCATGTTGTGGAGCTTCTGTGTAGGATGCATTTCTGCCCTGTGCATGTGGTTACATAGCTTTTCTGTAGGCTACGTAGCCTTTTGCATAGGCTACAGGAAGCTCAGAGTGAAAAAGATTGTTTTGTAGTCTGATAGGATGCTTGATATTGTGAGATAAGACAAGTGGCGTTAAATCCCTCTTCTCCTAAATGGACAAAGTGGACCACTCCCCACAGCAGGGAGAGTGTGACCATACAGCATGTGAGCTTGCGCAGCCTTGATGCTGAATTAGGCCTCTCTCAAGGCAAGGAAGAATATGGAACCAGGACTACCATCAGCATCTCTAGCACCATATCCAAAGCGGCAGTGAAGCATGATGGTGTGATTAAAACTGAAGTAGTAAATACAATCGACAACTTATTTTGTATTTTATTCTCTGCTAGGTGCAAAACTTAAGGAGTGGATGGGTAACCTTATCAGTTACTCTTTGTTTACATCCTCCCCTTTCTGTTAGCCACAGATGCACACTGTGGTCAGAGGAAGCTGCAGTGTAAGAGAAGTTTTATTGGTTGTTCAAAATCTTGGAGTTACGCTATACTTTTTAAAATAAAATTGTATCTTAGGTGAGATGACAATTATACAAATATAGGTGAGGTAGGCAAGTACAGGCTAATTAATTCTCTCTCTCAGAGAATTCTGGCTCTCAGGAAGGGAGCCGTGCTTGGGTTCAACCTGTGGCTGTTTGAATGTGTCCTTGGTGCTGAGTTGATCCATTGCTTTCTTTCCATTTTCTGCTTCATGGTAATTGCTTTAATTTGCTTCTCTAAATTATCACTTTTTCTTAATGGAAGCCTGAACACAAACACAAAGAAAGGATTTCACAGTGACTGATGTTTGGCAGTCTTTAAATGGGTTTTTAATTGTGCATTTTGGTTCTCTAACACGGAAGATAAGTAGTCAGCTATTTGGCTGTAACTTCATTTCACCTGGGAAGAGCAGGAAGCATACTTCAGTTGGCAGTGGAGTAACACAGAACATTTATCACTGACAAAAAGTCATTTTTCTGTAATTATTTTCCATTATGGGACGATCCTTTTCTAAAGTATGAGCCGTGAGACCCGTTTCCTCAAAGAGTTATGATTTGGAGAGGAAACATGGATCAGATGGAGAGCTTGGGGACACCACCTCCACCACAGGCTCAGAATGGATGTCCAAAAAAGTTACTAACGCACTGCTGCAAAGCAATGCCAAAGCACCCCAGTGAAGTGCTTGTTGGTGTTGGTAATTTGTCAGCTGAGTAGTTCTTGCTTTTTGTGGAAGAAGCCTTTGCTTCCATGAGCTCAGAAAATCAGAATAAGAAACAGCAGAAAGGCAGCTGATCAGATTGAAATTCCCTGGTAAAATCTGAAGCTGGGAAGAGCGTTGACTCCTTGAGCAGAGCAGTAGGAGATGCTGAAGCAGTTCTGATGACTCACACCATATGAAAACTATAATCCCCAAGTTTCTGGATGGAAATGATTGTTTTTTTCTGATCAAGACGTTTAGGATCATTCTCCCTGAATCATCCTTAAATGAAGCTATGGTATGGTTGCATGTGACTTTTCTATATAGCTATCCTATCAAAATCTTCAGAGATAGTTTTTTAATGCCTTATGTGAAGCAAGAGGTGATAAATTCATATTTATTACTAGTCTTTAATGATAGTTTTGTGTATTTTTATGATTTCAGATCTCTGAGAAATATGGGCTGCCAGTTGAAAAGATTGCAAAACTTTATAAGAAGAGCAAAAAGGGGTAAGTGAACTAACTAGGGGGTATTGCAAGATCCTTTAGAAGTACTTGGAGATCCCAACTATGCCTGGGCCTCATGATGCTGGGTAGCATAAACACTTCTAAGAGACTTGCCCATATGTTTCAAATCTTAATGTCTATGGAGGCACAAAGGGATGGCAGAGAAGGAAATACAGATCTCCATTCTGTGTCTGACCAGTGTTCACAGACTTCCTGTGAAGAAACAGAGTTTGTGTTTGGAAAATATATTTGGATAAAGTCTGTTTTGTAGACCATATGCTTAATAACTGAAGCACTAGCATGGGAGAGATGCTAGTGTGGAGTTTCTCTGCAGTATTAGGAAGAAGTAGGCTACTGTTTGAATCTGAAAGGCAGTCAGGCAACGTTTGCTGCAGGGGTTTCAGCTGGGTAAATTTAGACATGGGCATCACAGCTGTGATTTCAGAATAGCTAGGCTACTACTCATCATAAATCTGAATCTCTTCACTTTAACTTTTTTCACTTCTAAATAACTGCAATAGTGTAGTGATATAATTTTAAATCTATCACTTATTTTTGGCTGTCACTCTAGCTTGGGGAATTGTGTCTGGGGATTTCTTTAGCTTTTGAGAAGACAGGTGAAACTTCTCATGTTTTGCTTCTTTCTAACACTGTTCCCAAGTGATATTTTCTTGGAAGAAACACTTTACAGTAAAAAGTGAGGAAAATACTCATATACACTTCTAATAGTTGTTGATATTCTCACATCCAAGCCGAGGCCTAGGCCTGTGAGCTGTGTGCCAAGCACAAATTACACTGCTTCCTCATGTTAGCAACGCACACCATGGAGGTGCAGCACCTCACGCAGTGTGGCTGGGTAGCAGCATGGAGGTGTAGTTGGGGGAGATACACCAGGCACAGGCAGCACCAGCTACTGTGTCTGCCAGGGATCTGGAGTGCAGTTCACCTTGTAGGCAGCTTAAGTGTGTTAACATCCAAGCACTGGCATGTCTCTTACCTTAACTACTTTGGGAAGAAGCAGTTTCTAATCCAAAGACTATGGGGCAGATCTTGATGCTGATTCCCATTGTTGTCCCTGTACTGGAATGTGTGGGAGTCTGCTTTTGCATTGTAGTGAAGCGAGCACGTGCAGTGGAGTGCATGGCTTTCCCTTTCAGAGTCCTGGTATGTAAAAATGGTTTCCTCCTTTGTCACCAGTATCTTGGTAAACATGGACGACAACATTATTGAGCACTACTCCAACGAGGACACATTCATCCTGCACATGGAGAGCATGGTTGAAGGCTTCAAGATCACACTGACAGAAATTTAGCCTCAGGCAGAACCGTTTTGTAAGGAACCACAGCATTTCATCCTTCTTGGAAAGCAGAAGATTCCCCAGGAACTTGACAGACATTGATCAGAGAAACTGTTACAAGACTGCTTTGAAAATACTGTCCATTCTGCACATGTGCACTCACTGCATATAGGCTTGGGTTTGTCAGGCACAAGGCCACTCATGTTAACCTGGTCCCTTATTTATTGTTCCCCACTCTCTAATGTATGAGCAGTTACCAGCCCCCAGATTCGTAACCAGATGAACCACTGCAAATGTGAAATGCAGCATTTTAATCCATACTTTAGTGTGGACAAGCTCATTCTAAAACATGTTAAGGAACCACACTGGTCTAGTTTCAGAAATCTGGTGTAAATCACTTTACCAGTAGTTCTCTCCATTGTTGCTAAAAAACTGGTGCAGTGCTAAACATGGGGAAAGTGGCTGACAGAGTTCACTCACTCAGACTGGTCCATATCTCTCTCTAGTGTATAGTCTTGCCAAATACCTCTGGTAGTTCTCAGCACGTAGCAATGAGGACTTGTAAGTAAGGCATTCAGCTACAAATGTCACTTGTAAGTAAATGGTAAAGAAACCATTTTAACCTTGTATATAATGTTTATAATATGCAATAATATATTTTAACTACTGTATGCAGGCATGTTTACTGCCACTATGTTTTTGTATGTACTGGGTTTAGGGTTTAGCAGAATCTTTCCTAGAGGATTAGATTCCTGAAATCTGTTGAGGAGTGTGTACTAAGAAGCTGATAACTGCATCTGCACCCATATGCTCCACCTTTGCCCACTCAGTCTTATAGTGCTACAGGGTCTGAGTGCTCTGGCACAATGGTACCCACCTTAGGTGCCCAAGTCCCAGCTGCAGATCCCTGAGTGTCCCATCCAGCTGTCACCAAATCCAAGAGGCACCACGTGTCTGCTGCCTGGTGTGCCTAGAGGTACAGAAGGGATTTCTCCTGTTCTGTTGATGAAATGGAGGCTCTCAAAGTGTGCTTTTCTCAAGCCTGTGGAGGGAAAGGTGCTTTTTGCAGCAGCCTGCTCATTAAAGCATTTCTTTAGACTGTAAGAAACGGGACTTAAAACTCTCCTTAAGGGTACTTGCTCTTGTATCTCCATTGAATGTTTCTGTTTTGACTCTTAGGACAGTTGGGTAAGGTATAAACCTGGGCGTGATGTAAATATTTTATCAAAACTGGAACAATTTTACCAGTGGAGACTGAATATCCCACAGCTGGGGTGTGGAGATTGGTCTCTCTCACAAGGGCTGAATCTGAACCCAAGTGGAGCTACAGGGTTATCCTGTCAAATTTCACCACTGTCTCATGAATTCTGTGAAAAAATAGTGCATGCTAAAATTGTAATAGGAGAAGGGTTCAAGGCCTGAATGTGTCTGTTCTGTCTCCCTCCCTCTTCCTTTGTCATGTGCTCTTTCTCCTTTTTATGAAGAGTTTTGTAGTAATTCCTTTTCTTTTTATAAAGATGTACTCCAGCAAAGATGCTGTTGCTACCCTGCTTAAGAGCAGACATCCTGGGAACGAATACAGGGGTTTTATGGTGGTTCAGTTTGTTTCTGCTTGGCTCAGGCTGAGATAAAATGTCTGTGCTGACTTAGCCCAGATACTTTTTTCCTAAAGAAAAACAGAGGACAGCTGTGGCAGGTAGCATTAGGAACTGGGACCAGCACACAGGACTGGTGAGCGCTGGTGTTAGTTCGTGTATTTCTGTTTTTTTGATGGTGGTTGGGATCCTAAGGATAGCAGCTGGGCTCTCTCAGTTGGTCATCATGTCTGGGCAGAAGCTGCAGGTGAAGCATAGAAGTAAATGTATGCAGGAGTTGAGCCCTGGTTCAGCACTCAACCCTGCCATCCAAGCTCTCTTGCTTATAGGGAATGCTTGTGGCATCTGGGGCTGGCCCGGGTTGGGATGTGCTGCATTAAGAGAACAGTGAGAATTTGGGTTTCACAGAGAAAGACAGGGATGTCCTGGCAGCACCAGCACTCAGGTAAATGGCACATTCTTGTCTTACATATGGGTGGAGATGTGCTGGCATCTGTTGGATGCTTCAGCATCTGGTGCCGAGGAGCAGTGTAGGATCAGTAAGAAATGCTGAGGCTGAAGGAGCTCTTTTCATTGCCGTTTCAGGAGCTTTTGATCAGGTGATGTCCAGGGAAGGAAGGTTGCTTCCAAGATTAACTGGAAGCTTTTCTAAATACATCTTAAAGTGTGTGAATTCCTAGTACAAAAGAACTTACACTTCTGCCTTTCGTTCCTTCTTACAGTCTCAGTGAAGGTAGCAGGGTTGAGGAAGGTGAGTAGGATTTGCCCTTATAGTAAGTTTATTTTCAAAGTAACAACTAGAGCTAGTTAAAGATGGTCTCCCTTAACTTTCTTTGCTGGGGTCTGAGAGCTTCATTTCTCTGCTCCAGATGCAGATGCATCGTGAGCACCTAAGACATTACAAACATCACATCCCCTTACACGCCTTCAGTTGTAGTTGCAGCATCAGCAGCTGCAGGAGCACTTGAACCCTGGATGCTGGTTCTGGCAGGCTACAAGCTCTGAGGTTTCACTTTGTTGGTCAAAATCAGGCTATCAGAGTGATAAGGAGGGGCTGGGAAGAGTAACGCAAACTTCTGAAGCAGTGGCCTGCCTCATGCCCTGCTTGATTCAAAGGTATTGAGGAGTACAAAGTGCTGGCATGTATATTGTTTAAAATATACATGTTGCTTTTGTTTAATGAAAAATATTGATTAATGCTGGATCTTCCAAATATTATGAGTTAAATGGAAGTAGGATTTGGCTGCTGTTCAGCAGGGGACAGGAATATCTGCCTTGCTTCCTTCGTCTCTTCGTGGCACTGCTGTGGTTATTTATTTAAAGGAACAGAACTCCCATTTCCTTTTCTTCTTCAAGACAGCAGTCTTGAATCTGAACCAGTGCAGCCTGAAGGGTGGCTTTCTCCTCAGCTTGTTTCTCCTATGAAGAATTAGAGCAGTGCAGTGTCTGTAGATGTGTATCGAGAGACTGATAGAGATGTGCAAAAGGAAAATAGTCTTCGAAGCCCTAATTTTCATCCCTGCTACAGATTTGGCACCATGTCCGTCCATTTGATGTTTTATTATGAAACCCCAAACCTCAAATTTTAGTTTCTTTCTACATAGTCAGTTGCTGATATCCCCATAATCAAGTACATCCTTTCAGTGATGTACCGTGGTGTTTCCATCAAGACATCTTGGAGGATTTTTACCACTGAATGTAAACTACCAAGAAGAGCTCTTCTTTCTTTCCTGTGTGTCCCCTCATGAAGTTTTTGGTCAATGGAATTCAGAGCTCGAGTGTCTTTCTTGTATATTTTCCTCTTTCAGTCTACAAATTGTTTAAATGCTGTAATTTAATTCAAACCGTTAGCAAAAACTAAACTCTCCAGCTGTCAGAGATGCTGTATATTGATTGATATGAACAGGACAGGAGTATCTTATGACTTTTAAAATGTAAAGCTTATGAAACGTTTATATGCTCTTCCATTTCCTATGAATTGAGACAACATACAAACAAGAATGTTTGTGCCAAAGTTTGTGACAAGCCTTCTTTCTGGCAAGCAAGGAAACTATGCATAAACAGCGTGCTTTTATATTAAGAAAATAGCTCATGTAACTTAATAGTGTTGCAAGTGGGAGAGGGCTTTGATAAACTGTAAATACAGTTATTTTATTTTTTGTACATTTTTAAGAAGGAAAAAAATAAATATTCCTATGTATGAGAGAACAGTTGCGTGCTGAGGTGTGTACTGCTCCGTACTGGGATCGAGTTCCTATTTCTGAGCCCAGAAAACTTCAAAAAGAAGAAAATATAAATTCATTCTACTGAGGGAACAAGAACAGAGACTGAAAAAAATAATCACCAGAAATGGCTTCAATGACTGGCCTGGTGGGTGGGGGAGAGCAGTGCATATTGCCTACCTGGAGATCAGTATGGCCTTTGAAGCTGTCTCCTGTAAGATCCTCACAAAGAAACTGTTGATGTATGTGCTGGATGAGCAGACAGTGACATGGATTGAAGGCTGAACTCCTGGGCCCAGAGGGTGGTGATCAGCAGCACAAAGTCTAGCTGGACTCCAGTGACTAGAAGTGTACCCCAGGAGGCAGTCCCAGCCTGCTGGGGTGCAACATGTGCTCCAGTGCCTGGGGATGGCCATCCCCTGAAGCCAGGCTCTGTGCTGGGAGCCTGTCCACATCCCTGCCATGAGACAGAAGCCTTTGGCTTTGCACAGTGGGATGCGCAGGCCAGCAAAGGTGGTACATGGAGGATTTTAGAACCCCCATGCAACTAAACACCTTCTTATACTTTACCTTTTTTACTGTAATTTTGCCATAATACAAGTTGGGTTTAATGCTAAATTGTATTATGGCCTTAATGGGAGAGTGAGGAGAACGTATATCTTGGGAAGTCTGTCACACTGGAAGCTCATACAATAAAGCTGGTCCGAAGGTGTAACTGAGCACACAGGGTGCCTGGACAATGTGACTGATGCTCCTCCAGCCTGTTTCAAGCCTGGATTAATGTGCACTTCCTCAAATAGTCTGGGTGGGGGTTTAATCTCAAGAGGAAATAGCACTGGTTTCAGTTACCCTCCAGCAGGATATCAACTACTTTTAGCACCCTGGTGCTAATCCCAGCTCCACATTTAACCTAGGTAAAAGTAGGTAAAAGTTTGAGGAGCTTAGGGAGCATGCACAGGAGCATGCACCAGCCACCTCGAGAGCCGGGCTGAGGCTGGCAGGAGTCCCTGCTGTGACAGGCTCTGCTGCCACCCCATGAGCCACGTTTCAGAGCAACCAACCACAGCTACCACCCCCCCCCCAGTGCATGATCCCATCCCACATCCTGTTCCCTGACAGCAGCAGAGGCTTTCCTGAGGTTTGCTCACCAGTCCATGGAGCTACGTGAACCTTTAAGGCTCTGGTGTGAAGGGAGTAACAAGGCATGGCACGCCACAGCTAGCTGCAGCAGAATGTTTATTAGTAGGAAAGGACATTTAGGGGATTTCAGTAGGAGAATTGGTTTGAACCATTGGTATCCACCATACATTGGTTTTCATCAAGATTCTTCAAGGGTACATATTTATATAAGAAAACAATAATTCATATTTAGGTGCAATCAGTAATTCCAGTATGAAAAAGCACCATGTCACAAAACAGTTTACAATACAAAAGTCTTCAAAATCTAACATTTAAAACAATTTGTTCAACAGTAATAACAATACAGTAAAAAAATTCTTACTTCCCTTCAAACAATACTGCTTATATATTTGGCACTGAAAAAGAAACTACCACAAACTCACCTTTTTAACCACACAATGCTGTTTTGTGAGTGTCTATATACAAGGAAAAACATGCTTTTGAAGTCAGTCGTTTTGCCAGGTGCAGTTTGAACTGCTTTCTCCATTAAAAAGGAAACAACTAAAAGAAGTAAACCTCCTAAGCTGCAGCTTGCCTTGTCTTTTGGCCCAGGACATGGTCTGGAGAAGCATCTCTCTCAGACTCGATCCATTGAGTAGGTCAGTCCTGCCCGGAAGGCTGGACCCGAACCCCTCTTCTCCAGATCAGACAAGAAAGTAGACCTGAGCCCCCGAATGGTCCTGTCTTTAGGGACTGACCCCAGGCTGTCACTATATATTAAGCACCCCAATAAGATTCTGACCCCAGCTGTGCTGATCAGGTTCTTTAATTGCTTAATTGCTCGAGATTTTAGTTAATTAGTTTTAGTCACCTGCACAAATAGTCTTAAAATGTGAATCCATTGGCTTTGTCCTGGTATAGCCAGCACTGCCAAGGAAATCTGAGCATGCACACGGGTGAGCTGAGGGGTAAGGAAGCCTGGTACTTGGGCCCACAGCGTGCTCCGGGTTCGGGGACCCTTCTCTCAGGTCTCCTTGGCAACCAGGACTTGCACACAGCATGGGAGGAGGGAGCTTGAGTCGGAGAGAGGGAAGGACAGAAAACAAGACTTTTCAGGAAGAATTAGTTTCTGCTCAGAACTGACCCTTATTAAAATGAGAACACAGGTACTGTGCTCCGGGTGCAACACCAGTGCCTGTGTGCAGCTATGGTGGTCCTTGAAAAGGCCAATAGATTCTAGTGAACATGCAGTCCTTGGTGCTACCGCTAAAAGCTGAACAATAAAAAGAAGAAGAATCGTTTAAAATAGTTTTTACATCTCACACCAAAGATGCCACTACGAGAACACAACAGTGTCACACATTAAGTAGTACAGTCTTAAAAATGCAAACCAACGCTGGTAAGACTTCCATACATTCTGCATATCATATGTACAGAGAGAACAGTTTCTCAAGAGGACGGGCATAGAGAGATAATCTGTTTTGTTCTGAGTACGTTGCATAATACAAATACATTATCAGCATAAGAAAACTTTACTCAGACACTAAGAGTTCAAGAAAGGTCCTAACTGGAAGTTAATAACAGGGGAACTGGTGCACATGCTGGGGGGCACAAAACACATACTTTGCTCTTCGCCAAGTTCTCCACCTCCTCTGATGGCCTAATCCTCTACTCCCATTTTACCGGGTAGGTTTACCATGTCGCTCTGCAGTTACGCGCTCCCAAAGCGTGCAGCAAGAGCTGTCCTCAGTCTCCCTGACAAGAGGCCTTTCCATGGGCTTTGCCTGGCTGACAGCTGGCTGGAGACTTGGAGTATCACCAGATTTGCTCACAGCAGAACCTGGGGGGCAGGGATTAACACATCACAATAGCTATAGGCAGCTGCACGCAGGACACTAGCAATTCTAGACAGCCATAAGAAAAATATGAGGACCAAATTAATTTAATTCATAGACATCCCTCTTCTTTCTGAGTCATAAAAGTCTTCCTTAGAATATGTAGGTTTGCTTACAAAGTGTTCATCTAGAGAGGTATCTGGTTTTGCCAAGACACAGGATATGCTGAACTCCATGCTGCTGCAGTTAGTTTGCCCATGGTAGCTTATTGAAAGTTAGATCTGGTATCTACTAGACACTGCAATGTAGAAACAGCCTGAGGGAACAGAGATAAAGCTCTCCCTGTGGAATGGTCATGGAACAGGAACAGGACAGTTGGATCTATTCAGCCTTTGGCCATGGCTTATCTCAATTTATTACTCTCTACAGCATCAAAACATCTGCTCCAGTTTACACAAACAAATTGTTGTGGTTTAACCCCGGCTGGCGCTAAGCCCCACACAGCTGCTTACTCTCCCCATGGTGGGATGGGGGTGAGTACTGGAAGGGTCAAAGTGAGAAAACTTGTGTGTTGAGATATAGACAGATCAACAGGTAAAGCAAAAGCTGCACACAAAAGCAAAGCAGAACAAGGAATTCATTCTCCACTTCCTATGGGCAGGCAGGTGTTCAACCATTCCCAGGAAAGCAGGGCTCCATCACGCGTAACAGTTACTTGGGAAGACAAACACCATCACTCCAAACATCCCCCTTCCTTCTTATTAACCCCCTTTATATGGTAAGTATGACATCACTCAGTATAGAACATCCCTTTGGTCAGTTGGGGTCAGCTCTCCTGAATGTGTCCCCTCCCAGCTTCCTGTGCACTCCCAGCATAGTCACTGGTGGGGTAGGGTGAGGAGCAGAAAGGGCCTTGACTCTGTGTGAGCACTTCTCAGCAGTAAGGAAAACATCTCTGCGTTACCAACACTGCGTTACCAACACAAGTCCAAAACATAGCCCCTACCAGCTACTATGAAGTAAATTAACTCCACCCCAGCCAAAACCAGCACACAAATGTACAACTATTTACTTTTGCATCCATCACGTCATTCACTCAGCAATATTTAAAACTCAAAAGGTATCAAGTACTTCCATCAGAAGAGGCCAATATTGGTCTCCTCTGATTCAAGAGCAGAACAGAACTGAGTATACAAATACTAACTACAAGACTGCTCAGACAGAATTGAAGTGAGCAAGTGGAAGAGATAAGCATATTGAAATGCGGCTCAATCTGTCCCCTTGCAGCATATGTGCAGACAAAAATAATCCCTAACATAACTAAGCACTTCGTTTTTACTAGGCACAGTGAGCCCACCTTGCTAGTAGCTGCTCAGGCAGCTCTGCTTTTGGGATCATTGGGACTTTTGCTAGCACAGGAGCTAAACAACCGTCAGGGCCGAATCTGAGATAGTCCAAAATTAATAAACAAACAAGCCATGAACACAACTAAAACATGAACGAGGAAATTAAACAAAAAATACCAAAGCAACATGATCTTGTAGCACATTCGTATGGCTAACATGGAGCATGATGTCTTTGGACAGTTTCCTTAGATCCTTCTCTGATTGGAACTCTGTTTTTTCTTTTCTCCCAGACACTAATAAAACTGTTTGGTTGCCCCGGAAATGGGAATAAGCTCCTGACAGGGAATAAAAAGCTGGTGTTGTCAGGGAACTGTGACTTCTCCCCAAACAACCACACAGGACCCGTTAATCTTCCCTCGGAGCGCAGCCAATTAACAGCACAAATGAAGTTTAGAATCTAAGAGGATTGTCTCAGGTGGGTTTGCTAATCACCATCATCCTGCTCGCTGCGGGAGCCTGAGGCCAACCCTGAGTACGGCTGAAGCCCCTGTCCCCAGGGAGGAGAAACCCAGAGGTCACACTCTCCACACGTGTTTTTGACAGTTTCCACCTGACATTGCCGCAACAAAATGATCTCTTGGTCCACAGCCTCTGGGTGCTCCGGCAGCACTGGGGCACTGCACGCTGCATGGTGATGCATTGCAAGATACTGCTCCTGCCTGGAAGAAACCAGCCCCCGGTGGAATGAACCATGGGAGCAGAGAGCGAGCACCAGTCAGGTTCAGCCTGCAGTGCCTCAACAAACACATACACGGTCATGAAAACCACATTGTTCCAGAGGTTCAGTGTGTTCTTGAAATGATTCATACTGCCATTACTTAATAGTGGGAAATATAGTGTGGTTGGCAAGGTACGCACAGGAGGACCAAAGGCTGGGAACCAAACCAGCAGCTGCTCAAGCGCATCAAGGTTGGCTCCTCCAGATATCAAGGGCTGATGTTTGTTACCCATTCACATAGCGGGTGGGGATGCCAACCAGGAGATGGGAGCAAAGCCTCAGAGAGCCAGACACCCTGAGCGCCTGCCCTGGAAGGTGAGAACATCTTTGGTATAAGGTCAGGGCAAGAGGGGAAGATCTAAGATGTGTCTCAGCTGCACAGTAAGAGAATGCTACAGAGACAGTGACCATTGCATGCCTTGAGATCTCGGAAGCACTCAGCAGGCTGAATAAGCTCAGATGACCTTAGATATGATCTGAGCCAGAGTTCCCATCCTCATCACATGGCGATGTGGGGATGGAAGAGCCCAGGAGGTCCCACAGACTGGGCTGGTGAAGAGAAGCTGTTCTGTGCTGACTATTGCTTAAGGGGGCTTCACCTTGCAAATTCAGCCCCTGGTCTGAAGGCAGTGATGTCTCTTAGAGCGTTTCATTTCTCTAGCCTTTTCACATTGTTCACTACAACCCAATCGTGTTTTTGTCTTATTTATTGTGCATTAGTCAGCATTTTACATGTGATAGCTTAATCCCAAGTATACACATTAAAATAACTTTTGACCTGTGGGAGTAATGAGGAAATCAACTCCGTACATTGTGAGAAGCCTCTCACATCTGGCCCTTTCAGCTATTACTTCTTAAGATAAGGAGAGTATATCTGAAGGGCTTCATATTTTATCCTGTGAAAATCTCTACCTGAAACAACTTCTCAATATGGATGATTTGGAAGCAACAGCAGCAAATGCCAGGCTGGAATAAGGGGTGCTGCTAACTGAGACACCCATGGTAGCCAGGGTTGGTTTCTGCAAGGAACAAGGAGATTGACTTTGCATCCAACAGATCATTCTACTGCTCTGAATCCAGAGGCACCTGTTGGCTTCTGCAGCCCCTCAGCAATGGATGTGATTTCTAGTGTCACTGCTTTCCATGTCAATTCACAAACCCTGCTGCTTTTTCCCTCCCTTTACTTAAAACACAGCTGTTCTTCGCACCTTCCCCAGCCTGCAAAGTATTACCTGGGCTTTCAGAACCAAACAGAGCTTTTCCTTGTTGCTTACCACCAGGAAGAAAGCTCCTGCAGGCAATGTTTTGCCCTCAGATACACTTAGGAAATGCCTTATGCTCTTCCTGGAAGCTGTTTGTTCGGCTTTTAACCTGGCCCTGGAGAACAGCACTGTTGCTTATATGTAAGAAAGAGCTGCTACTGCAGCTGCATGCTCATGCTGAAGATACTCAAAAGCATATTTTGTCAGTGCTTCTGCCTGAATACAGAGCAGACAGAACTGCTCAGCTAGACGGTGCCGTTTCTGGTCTAGCCGTATCTCAGAGCACATCACACCATGAGACTGACATATCACTGCTTTGTGTCTTATCTGCTCACTGCACAGTCAATGGAAAACTCCACATGCAGCTCTGAGCACTGCTGTCTGTGCTTGCCAAGTGTCTCTGCATTTCTAAGCACAAGTTCTACCCATGATACCAAGGAAACCAACTTCCCCCCTATAAGACTCCTACATGAGATCCCACCCAGTGAGACACAGAGCAAAGAATGCACCCAAATGTTTGTGCAAAGGGCAGGTGAACTTGTCTTCTTGACTTGCCTTGCACCAGTTACCTGACGCCCAACTCCAAGCCCAAAGACCTTGCCAGGAAACCGAGGGCACACCATGAGAAAGACAAAGAGAGGTGCGGGTTGTCCAGCCCTCCCCTACACGTTTCACTTGGCACTTGTACACTAGGCTTCAAAAGGAAGACCCTTTGAAGGCTGCCTCCTGTATCCTGACCACGCTACGCTGCTGTCATATTGCATCTGCACCAGCGTGGCTACAAAATTGGAGAGAGTTTTAAAAGGAGGGGGACAGCTGAGCTCAAACCATTTGTTCCGAGGCAGGAGATTCCCTCCCCACCACCACGTGGCCCCAAGGAACCTGCCAGTTGTCACCGTGTTCCCTGGTTCACATGGACTGAGAGACGTTCAGCCACGGCCACGTTCTCAGATTAGTCTGCAGATTAGGGCTCAGCATCAGTTACCAGAGTTCACCAAGTTTCCATGAGTCAGCTGAGCTGAGGTTTCTGCCCATGTGTGCACTTCAGCCCACAGCAAATGCAAGGTAATGCGACTTAGCCTGGTCTGCAGTGAAAGAAAATCAAGGTAAGCTGCATTATTGCACGTTTTCCACCACTGACCAGAGCACATGCTGACGAGTGCTGGGGTTCAGCCCGCAGGGGCAGTTATTAAACCATGGGGACTTGGTCATGTGTGACCATTTCTGGTGCTGGTGTGCCATACTTCTGCACATAGAGCTCAGCCACAGAAGTTGCATACTTTCAGCTTACTGTTTTAAGCAGCAGTGTCTACAAAATGTGTAGGTCATGCTTAGTAACAGAGAGCAACAAGAGACAAAATGTACTAACAATAAGATGAAAATCCTACAAGCTCCTAAGAACAGCAAGAAGAACAGCACAGCCCCGTGTACCTCAGGAGCATCCACTGCTGTGAACTCACAGGGCTTCAAATAATCTTGAAACACAGGCCTTTCCTCAGCCCCTCTCAAACTGTAAGTGCTCACAAAAACCTGGTGTGTGCTGGTTTTGCAAGCGTTGTGTTCCCTTTTCCCTTCCCAAAGCACCCTAAACCAAATCAGGCTCCTGCAGATCACACAAGCCACAGTCCTCACTTCACATCTTCTGGCCCAGAGCTTGGCAAGCTGATTGGGAATGCTGAATAAATGGGACTGGCATTTTCCATGGATTCAGTCTACATGCAGGATGTACTCATTAATTCCTTTGGACAACACATGAGTGAAGGCTACCTCTTTCACATGCACTGCTACTGGAGAATTCATCTACAAAACTGAGAAGTGATGTGAAGCAGTATGTGCTGCCTGCCATCCTTCCTGCATGGAAATACTGCTGATTGCTTGAAGTGTCTGACTCGCTGTGCTGTTTTATACAGGATAGGTAATTCTGTTCATGAAGGCAGTTATGATTGCAAGTGGGAATAGCAGCAAAGCAGAAAATTCCAGTCAAGGTGGATCTCACTACTTCTGTCCTGCTGGCACAGGTCTGCAGATACTCCTATCACAACTCCAGCTATCAATCACTTTTCAAGTACATGCGGAGGCAGACAAATAAAAGAATAGCTAATAATATAAACCAATACCAACCATCAGTGGTAGTTAGGTAAAAGAATAACCTTAGTTCACTCTGTCAGTGTTTACACAATAGCCTTATCTCCAGCTATATCCTCTGCAGCTGTAGGCTAATTCTTATTCTTCCAGATTTTGTGAACTGTGGGAAGAATTACACCTCCACTGGCCTGGGGTTATATCACAGGGGTTTTTTCAAACACGTGTTGTACAGTTGTAACACGTGAAGCAAACCTGGCCTTAAAGCCCCAAAACTACCGAGCATCAACAAATGGAGAGATAAGGTTCTGGGCTAGAAATATCTTATCAAATAAGAAGAGATGGAATGCAGTCGCTTCAATAAAAAGCAAGGATTTAAAAGTTTCAGTCACATGCATCTGCTCTCACAACATTCAGAAGATGGAACTGTGGAAGATGTCCCAGTTCACCTTCAGTAAATGCTGTAGGTCTGGGCTGCTTTGGATGTGGGTGTCTGCACTGAGCCAGTACGTTAGAAGTTCAGGAGGGTTCCACTAGTGTCACCTAGTCCTGCCTGTGCAGCAGTGGCGATGAAGTGCCTGGGAGTGGTGGGGACAGTGGGACTGGTTGTTGCTGCCTGCTAGAGTGGGTGCTGATCAGTGCATGCCCACTGACCTTCCTGCAGCAATCCCAGCAGGCTGGCCAGGCTCGTCCTGCTGGAAAACTGCCCTCAAAGCACTAAGGGAGAACACGGCATGAGGTGATGGATATGGGAGATGGATACAGGCCAGAACCTCTCCAGATAAATCTGAAAATTACCTTGAAGGAGGCAGGCACAGGCTGTCCTTTGAGGGGTTAGATTTGTGCACAGGATGTCTAATGAATATTAGGGAGAAAGATATAGGGAAGATTTCTATCAGCTGGAAGAACTGGTGCAAAATTTGTCAGGGATGCTTGTAACAGCTAAATATCCTAGGTACTGAAATCTGTTTGTGTCTGTGGCTGAGCCTCTGATGCCTCCTCATTTTCCCACACACATCATTTGAGACAAAGGTGTGTGCCGGATGACATTCATTGAGTGTAATTAGCCACTCAGAATAATTTTAGTACAACTGATTAGCAATGTTATTTTCAGTTTATGTTTTATTTTAATATACTCTGCACTTCACACCTGGCAAAGCAAACCGTATGGAAAAGTTCAGTCTAGGATTCTTTTCTCTCAGTTATTGTACATGCTAGCTAGTGTTCAACAAAAAACTCTTCATACCCAGCTACTTCTTCATGACTTCTGATTAGCACTTAGCTACCCAACATCTGCAAAGCAGACTTATTTTACTTAGTTTATTTTAAATTAAGGCTACTGGGGATTAGCATCTACAAGGTCACTTGACAGAACGCCAACCTTGCCGATCAGACAAAGGGTTACTCTAACGAGCTCATGAATTCCCCGCGCTGTGCACTGCCAACACGGGTACCTCTCCAACAGGATCACAGAGCAGGCTTCAGCTAATGACAGATTAATGCCAATTTGGTCAGCATAATGCCTCCTGTCGCTAAAGCTTTTCTGTTGCGGCAGTGCTGATAAGGTCCCTAAGAAATCCCACCTATGTGAACTAGATTTGCTTACAGCAACTTTGACCAAAGGATGAAATTTTGCAGCAGCAGATTTCAGAACTCCTGCATCTAGGCGAAAAGATAAACATTCAACATTTCTCTCAAGAGCTGATCTTGGTTTTGTTTTAATTTTATATATATAAATATACCATAAAGCGTACCATTTCCTCATTTCAGTACAGAGTTTTTGAACTTTACTAAATAAATGAAATGTAAATGCTACAATTTTATGTTTAAAACAAGTTTTGATGACAGCCTTCCCCTAAGAGCAGGCCTACAAACTCTGTTAGCTATGTGGAGAGAGACAAAACACCCCCAAAACTTTCTTCTATGAAAGAGCATTCGGGCAGCAGATGTGCCTCAGCTGGAGCTGCTTGCAGGTGTCTGTGAGTTCCTCACATGAATGCCCACTCTCCTTAGTAGAAACTGCTTTATTACTAACCTGAAAGTTTCACATTCAACATGTATCTCCCTTAAATTCATTGTCAAGACCCAGTTTTCCATATTCTGTGTCTGCCTTTGCTGATCCCAAATGGCAAGAGGTATCGTCAGTTGTGGATTTGGGGATCAGGATTGCAGATTGCTGAACTTTCAGACAAAGCCACGTGAAATCAACCACTGTAAACCTAGTAAAAAAGTCAACCTTTGTTTTTGCCCCTTCTCCTTCACAACCTGGAAAATGTTCACAGCATTGAATCAATGAGGCATTGGAGCAGGGATGCAGGCAATACTCCCTGCACACGATTTGCACTTTCATACTTCCTCCCTATCCTGTCTTTGACCTCAGCTGGTGCCTCCTGGACAGGAGAGGAAGAGCTCCAGGTGAATCCCACCCAACCCATCACAACCACTTTAGTTCAATCTTGACTACGCTTTTGGGTCCTGCGAGTGAATACTCAGTGACTAAAGCAGCAATCTAAGATCTGTCAGTGTGTCTTGCTGCCAAGGGCTTTGTTGTTGGTTCACTCCTTCTCAACGTGTACTTTCCAAAACAGACACGTTAAAACAAAAAAGTCCAAAATGAAATCTTTAAAACGATTATAACACCACAATATCTGTTTAAAACAGTACTGCCCGTGCTCTGGACAACTTGTTAAGAGCAATTCAGCATTCTTATAATTAATCCACAACAAAAGAAGCTATAAGATGCCACAAATGAAGGCATAATTGGCCATACAGAGGCAACACTACCATGAATGTTGTTTGGCAAGGGAAAAAAAAAAGCAGATACAGAATTCATCCAAAAATGGGTTCAGAACTGCCCGGCGCTGCTGGGATCACACTGCAGGAGACGGACTATGGATGGATCACTCTTGGCGCCTCGGATGAACTCCTCCAGAGAGAGCTTTCCTAGAAGAGAAACACGTTTGCTTAGCACATGTCGCAGCACACATGCCAAGCCTTGGTGGAAGGAAATGGGGAGAGCTCCAGGAAAATCCCAGGGAAAGCAACCCCACAAGGCAAAGCCCTGCCTGCCTGCACCCCACTGGCTGTGTGTGGTATGGCTTTGCCTGGGGAGCCGAGGGAGGAGTGGTGGGTGTGAGGGGTCACTCTGCGTAGGCAGGACACCCCAGCCACCCAGCACAGGGGCAGAGGCATCTGGAGGGTGCCTACCATCACGGTTGGTGTCCATCTGGCGGAAGATCTTCTCTGTCCTCTTCTCTGGTGTCGACTCATCTTCCGGCATCTTCATTACAGAAGAAACCATCTTATAGATTGCCTGTGTGATACGATAGGAGCAAAGAGCTGGTAAGAAACACATTATCTTAATGCAGATTTTCTCCTGGTGACAGAAATAGGCAAAAAATATCCCAGGAACATCATCTTAGATCTCCTCTCTGGATGCTGAAGGGAGTCGCGTGGCACCAGTGCATGCAGCTGCCCTCTTCAGTGGGACGCTCATTTATAGAATACTGTGTTTCCTTATTTAGTCATGGTCAAACACGATCTGGGTTTGGACCGAGGTTACATTTTTCTGTATTAAGCCAGACTTGAGATGAATTTATCACTTTCACAGCACATTAGGCACTGGCAGCTCCCAGAGCCCAGGGGGAACGGTGAGACCGCTGAGGTTTTGTCCCATGCTGTGATGTGCCTCCGTGCTTCAACTACTCGGGCTCCATCCTCACCACCCTATCACCCTCACCCTGTCTTTGCTTCCCCCATCTCCTGTCTCTCCCCTCTTGGTCAGCACCCTGCCCACAGGGAGGCAGTGACTCGCTCCTGCATTCGCCATGTCTCACAGATAATGAAGACTTGACCAGCAAGGAGGTGGCCTTTTCCTCAGGGATTGGCATGCATGCACAGCCCATAACCCCATTCACAGTTCATTCCACAGAGAGCAGGTGTCTAATCCCACATGCCACTGGTGCTACCCACAGCTATTCTCTGCACAGACAAATCCATTAGTCACGGATGGTACTAGCTGCCCCTAAATGAGAGGTACTGTTAATTTTAAACCAAGGATGAGTAGTTGTCTCTACTGGTCATCCACACATTGCCTGCACATGTGAGCATGCAGTACCAGTACCCAAGTATTTTTTTCATCAGATACCTTTGTGGTGCCACACAGCTGTGAGAACAGAAGCAGACAGATGACTGCAGAGTGGTGGCCTCAGAGGAGCCTTCTGGCCCCTTCTGGCCCCTTGGCACATCCTAGCAAGGCAGCTTTGCCCTGGGCTGACCAGCTCCTTCTGCTTCCAATCAAAGCTCTGGTTGACAGGCACTGCACTGGGCAGTCACTTTGCCCTCCAACCCAGCTCTATAGATGTGGGTAGCTTGCTTTCAAAGATTCAAATTCTTGTTCCCCCTCAAAACACGGTGCCTGCAGCCATCAGTTGATAACTTAGGGCAGATGTGGTTGCTGTAGGGTATGATTTCCTTAACTGTTTGTTCTCCACTTCCTCCTGATCTGGAAAGGGGGGTCTTTGGTTCAAGTCCAAGATTGTTCACTGGATCTTCCCTATCCCCATTCTTCCTAGCACACTCCCATCGTCTGGCCCACAGCCCGCAAGGGCTGGCTTCAGAAACGTAACAGTACAAATTCACCAGCTGGAGGATGCTGCTAAGCAGCACAGATATTTACATCCTGACTAGGGATCATCCACTTCCTTGGCCATGTTGCTGGCTTCTCCTCTGCCAGCAGCTCACCTTCCAGGCTCCTGGCCTTTAAATAACTTGAAGAGTTACACAGTGAGAAAGGCATTTTTCTGTTTAATTAATTATTTATGGTTTATGCTCAGCGCAATCAAACATCTGCTCCTCAGTTATGTCACCAACGCTGGAACTGGATTTCCTGGTCTGCCCTCTGGTAAGTCTGTAGTGCTGGCTGTGGATGCAACCAGGGGAATGTAGCAGAACATTTCAGCATGAACAGCTGCTGGCTGAGCGGAAAAGTGGTGGGCACCCTTTTAATCATCATCATGATGATCATCACCATCATCAGCAGCCGCATCATCATCACTATCACTGATATCATAATGTTTTGTGCTGCAGGAGTGCCCGAAGACTCTCAAGAGAATTAAGGTGCTGGAATATTGGGCAGAGTCTCAGTAGAGGCAGGGATGCTGTCCACACTACCCTGATCATCTCATAACCAAGGAAACAGAAGGATGAACATGCAAGCACACAAACATGGGGATAAGGGAGCTGGGAGGAGGGAGGCAGTAAGGGAAGAAAAGGAGGGTGGACAGTAAGAATTTACACCTTCCTCATCCTCATCAGCATGCAAGGCTCGCAGGGGTCAGAGCAGAGATGAGGCTTGTAAATCTGCCAATGTTTAGCATCTTAAGCTTTCTGGCTTTTGTCTGGGGTAGGAAGAGAGTTGGAGGGGTCATTCCCTCGCTCTGGGTGAGAGCACGGCAAAGCAGAGAATCTGCATAGAAAGTGTGGGAGGAATGCCCGAACAAGGAGCGCAGGCGTGTTTACCCTGATCAAAGTAACCATAGTAAGAATATGCAGATTTTTAGGACAAAAAAAAAAGCACTTCAGGATGACTTCATCCTACAGAGTCCTTTTCACAGAGGCGTGTGAAGGGAATAACAGATGAGATATTCTAGGAAAGCCAGATGGGAATAACATAGTGAGCGTTCCTTTCATGCTGAAAATGGTTACTCTGGACAAATTCTTGTGTCCTTACTCAGAAGTTCAGTGGGAAGTTTTCCCAAAGTAAAAGCCAGCTAAAGCCAGCTTAAGAATTTTGAGCCTTGCCCCGTATTAATTCAGAGAAGCTACACAGAGCTCTTTATTGCATGTCTGAAAGAGCAAGCTTTGAAAGGAAGCTGGTTTCATGTGGTAATTATACGGAGCTGGGCTCTACTAACCCTGGGCTGTAACCTGGTACTGAAAGGCTGCAGGGCCTCCAGTTTATGTGGTGTATGACTCCTCAGCCTTGCAGCCCTTGGACTGAGTGAAAGCCGTTGGTGGTATTCAGCAGGAGGTTTGGAGGTTGTTACCTATTAGCCATCCGAGTCAGGGCGACTTTCTGTTAATAGGGCATCTCAGTGCCACCAAGACACGGTGCCTCTAGAGCCCTGTGTGCATTGATGGAGTGAGCACAGCCTCCAGCTTCATCTGAACTGGCTGGTTCCCTGCTGGGCTCTCCCCTTGGATTTCCCACCTGCATGTGGATGAGTGGTGAAGGGTGATTTAGGGAAAATCTCACCCCTTTGCCCACGCTCACAGGTTTGGTTCCTAGTCACTAGCTGCCACCCAGAAACCTTTGTTGGGGCTGCACTTTACTGCTATAGCTGGTAAAGTGTCAGAGCAACTTACAGTAATGGCAGCAATGACAGCACAAATTTTCAGTAGATCTTTTTCACTCTGTTGAAATAAATCTTGACAGCTAAAAGTCTCATTAAATGAATAATCAGCCTGAAATAATTACTTTCCTCTCAATCTCATGGGGATTTTTGACACTGTCTTTACTGAGAGCCCAATCAGCTTCTGCTTCTTCCCATATCAGCTTCTGTTTCTTCCTGGCTTACAAATAAGCCCTCCCAGCAAGTGAAACGTGTGTGCTCTGTCTGCATTAAACTGGAAGCGTTATTCTCGTCTCTCAGTTCAGTATTCTTCAGATGCCTTATGACTCCATATGGTGAAAAAACGTATCCTTAGAACAAGGTTTTCCATCTCTTATTTGAACTCTTATTTTAAGAGACTCACCAAATATGTCCCATTTCAGCAAGTGGAACAAACACAAATATTCTAGCTGGTTTGCAGCTATTTTTGAGTGGACTGGGCTATTTAGATTATAGGTAAACATATGGGAGACATGAAAAGCATTTCTAGAGCAGGAGAATCTGAGAGGGTCTGTGGTGAGGTCTGTCAAGAGGGCAGGCTAGGAAGCATCTTCCCACAGTACTTGGCAGATGTGCCTGGTAGGTGGAGCAGTATCCCATGGACCTTCTTTCGTTAAGCTGTGCAATCGTCAGAGCCTAATCAGCCCACCACTAAAGTCCTTCATGTTATGTGATCCTCCAAAGTGTGCAGCCAGCTCTAGGCAGAGAGCTGCTTTTGGAGACTGGTCTAAGGGCATGGATAGGCATGGTGAGTCCATGATAGGCTATGCAAACATGGTTAACAGCACTTCAGGTAAACAGAGTTTAACAGAATGGAGGTGCTTTGCCCTCTGTCCCATCCTTTGCAGAGAAAACAGGCTTCATATGGACCATTCATGTTTATTCCCTCAGCAGCTGACCCACTATTAGGGCTTCTGTGTGATATGAGCCATCTTATCCTATAGTAGCTCTGCTTTTCCAGTGCTGCTTCTGCTACCACTGTTACCACAAGGGCCTTCTTGCAATGTTGAGCAAGAATTCAATGCCAGTATTGCCTGCAGTGGTGTTAGATTAAGCCAGAGCATGGGAAAGGCAATGCGAGTGACCCTCAGCATAACACTGAAAATCACTACAGAGACAACCTTCAAAGCACAAAGAAAAGCAGACCGAAAAAGAAGAAAGGCATGCTTTGTCATTACGTTATTTAAGATACAGTAATCCCACAGTAACAGAGGGCAGTATTTTTCTCTGAAACTAAGACTTTTAGATTGATGGTGTATCATTAGCATTCATTTTAATGTATTGTCTCATGCAAAAACCCCAATGAAAACATAATAAATCCTGCTATACCAATATGCAAATGTATGCTAGATAAGGGACTTGTAGTAGTTTCTTCTGGGACATATATCAGAGATATAGCAGAGTTCTGGTTTTCACTATAGAAAGACTGTGATAGCTAAGGGCCTCCAGGAAGACATTTGATACAGAATCCTGTCTTTCCATATTAAAAACCAATAATCTTTTCTAAATGAAAGTGATAGTTTCTAGCTGGGTTTTTTTGTTGTTGTTTGTTTGTTTTGTTTTTTAGGTCTAATCACTCTATATCAAGGGAACCTCTTGATAAATCCAGAAAATGTGCTCATCTACTTCAGCTTCACATGTCATCCAAACATGCTTCCAGAGACTACACAACAAATCTTACCCCACCGGGAGGAGCTACAGGTGACTAGTACAATACAGGCAGATCACTGTGGCCATAAAAACTGGGAGAACAAGGTGAGATCAACAAGAACATTGCCTCGGGAGAAGCTCCATCACAGAAATGTTAGCTTTGGAAAACTGTTGATGGTCCATGGTACAGAAATCACTGTTGCTCAGGCAAATGAGGCTGTTTACTTCTATAATTGCTGCTTGTGTGGTCCCTCAAAGTGTGGAGTAAGAGCAAATGTGAGAAAGCATCACACAGTTGCAATCTGAAAGGAAGAGGGAGCCAAATCTCCCAAGAGCACCAGGCTGAGGGCTGTATGCAGCCCAAGTGTTGCTTTGGGTTGGATGTACAAACTAGATAAATGTTGTCCTACACTGATCCCTAAGCTTCAGGTTCATTTGATGATGGCATAATGGCTGTAAAGAACAACGCTACTATTTGGTACCAACATGATTATGAAGAGGAGTCAGAGCATTTCAACCTGTAAATATGCTCATGAGCTGATCGGGGGTAACTGGAAAATGCTGCCAGCTTTGCTGCTCCTTGCTTGGCTCCCTACAGAGAATCCAGCCACTGATGTGTTTATTGTCCACCCTCTTTGTGAATCTTCTGACCTAGGGGTTTGTGATGCCGTTCAGCACTGAGGCCTTCCTGGGCTGCTGAACAGCAGCTAGGAGTCCTACGTTCCTTGAAGCGTCTCCTCCTGAGAAGCAGGAGCTTGCTGGGGTTTGGCTCCTTGTGTTTGCTTTGTACTTTGCTAGTCCTTTTGGGATTCTCTGTTTTCTCAAGAGGAGAAATACTGCTAGAAAAACAATAAGTGACAACCTGTTTACCTTAGCCAGGGGAGGGGAGAGGAAGATTTGTGAGGAACAGAGTATCTTCTAATTCAAATATTCCATGGTGCTTGCCATGGCACAGAGGCACGGAGGTCTCTGCATCTGAACACTATCTGCTCTTCTACTCAGACACAGGAAGGCAAAACAGAGTAAGTGAAAGACACAACCCTACATTTGCAGCTGAGAATTGTATCTGGTGTTGCTGAACCAGTGAAAGTGCTGTTGTTAGCTACCGTTTGGAGGACATGAGAAGAGCCCTGGTAGAAAGACAAGCCCAAGGTAGAAAGGCAATGGAGTAGGCTGACTCCATATGTGCAGTTTGCCATCACAGCCTGTAATTTGTGGGCACTCCTTTCCCTTGATTTCCAGCACAAATAGAAGTCTGCATAATACACTCCACTGTTAGCACTTCAAAATTTCTGTGGAAGGAAAGGATCTTGATAACAGCCTTTTCTTTTCTTTTTTTTTTTTTAACAGGGCTGCACTATACAGCTTCAAGCTGTGTAAATACACTGCCATATCAAAAATGTTTTAAAGCTTTCAGTGGAGTGATGTGCCTCAAGGACAAAAACATGTTACGGGAAGCCAAAATGAGGTGGGACTCCTACTAGCACCACAAGAAAATACATCTTGAGAAGCTGTGTATGGAATCATTGTCTACCCATATAAGGTTTATCTACCCTGGCACTTAATACAAAGACAGCTAGTAGGATGCTAAGTATGCAGACCTTACTGGAATTAGGCAGACAGACACCTTTTAAAATATGTGAGCTGGTTCTTCATAACAGCATGATTTCAAATTAGATTTGTTTGTTACTGTGTAAGGAGCCTGCTTTCCTTAGAAGTACAATACCTGGTTGATCTAGGATGTCTACTTGGTCCAAATGTAATTAACTGTAATTAATTGTCAGTGATTTCCCAGAGGACAGAATCACATTTATCATCAGGTTAGTTGCTGTGCTCCAGCCCAGCAGAGCTCCCAAGGGACAACTTCCCAGCATGTTGTTCAGGAAGGACTTGCAATGGATATCAAATGCTGTAGTCTGAACTGTGAGATGATCTTTGCCAAGTGAAATAACATTTTATATTCACGCAGTTATAACCAAGATCATAAACCCACAAATGTTGCCAGAGTTCAGTGTCTCATTGCAACATTACTTCATAATTTGCTTGCAAGGAGGGAGGCCAAGAGGTGCCTCTAAGCAGCACATACCTGCACGATTTCCAGCATCTCTGACTTACTGATGTAGCCGTTCCCGTCCAGGTCATACATGCTGAATGCCCACTTCAGCTTCTGCTCCAGTTTCCCTCTTGACGTTACGCTCAAGGCTATGATGAATTCTCTGAAATCTATTGTTCCATCTCCATTGGCGTCAAAAGTGCGGAATACGTGTTCCGCAAACTTAGAAGCGTCCCCATAAGGGAAAAAGTTCCCATATATTTTTTTAAACTCCTCCATAGATAAATGCCCACTTGGACAGTCTCTCAAGAAGCCTTTGTACCACTCCTGGATCTCGTGTTCTGTAAAGTCTGTACTTTCTAGCAAATCCTGCATGACTTCAGGGCGTAGTTTGCTGTTCTGCTTTCCCATATTGGTGTCAAAATGTTACCTGCAGAGGAAAAAACCCCAGACATGAATTGGTATTTTAATTATTAATAATTAATAACTATTAGCTTGGAGGCTGTAGAAAAGCAGTGTGCTGGATTCTGAGTTTTCTGATGATAGTTCATTCTTGGGAATGGATCAAAACTTTGGGCAGAATCCACTATGACATGTATACTGTAAGAAAACTAACAAGCCTTAAAGGCATGTTGATTGCGTTATCTTTTCATGGTCTGGAAAACTGTAATTACGTTGAATTTTTTGCCATCTTACTTTGCCTTTGAAGTGACTAGGTAAGAAATGGATGCTGCAAGGTGTCGCTCACCAGTAGCCTTGTGCTGCAGCATGCCCTCCATCCCAGTCACCCCTCTGAAGGATCTGACCTGAATGAGATACATTTGTCTGTACCTCTGGTGGAAACCAGGTTGCTACAAATGGCCATGTTCAGTTGGTCTTACTCCAAAACAGGATAATGGAGTAACTGCAGTGTACGCTGAAACCAAAGAGCTCGAAAGCCCTTCTAGATACATCTTTATAGCCAGAACCAAACAGAGCAACCCAGAAGTTGCCTCTTGTTTGGTAAAGCCAAATTTCACTTTTAATTCAAAATGCACATAAAATCTAAAAAGATTTTACCAAAGATGGATTCCCTTACCCTAAACTATTACTGTGGTTTTTTATTCTCCTTTTAACCAGAAATTGGATCTATTACTAAGTAACAGTACTCTGGGTGGTCACAGGTCTTTGAGAAAAAAAAGCAACACAAAAACCTCTTAAAAAAAAAAAAAAGAAAAGAGAAGAAAAAGTACCCAGAAAATAAAACTGGCAATTCATTTCCCTTAAATGAACCATTAAGGAATACTATTGGATACAGCTTATGTTAAATCACCTTAATTACATTTTATTTAAGGCAAGTTGCTACATACCACGTTGTGCAGCAGATTTACTAATGACTGATGCCCTTTGGGTTTAAGTTTTGGAGCCAGAATGAGTTGGCTCCAAAAGGCAACATCATCAGTTTTACTGGAAGCTTAACATTATACTTGAATTAGCTATTCGCTATCGACAAACCTGCCTGAGAACTTGTCATGCAAATGACAGTCACAACGAAAATATGATGTATGGATAGCTTAAGTAGAGCTACAAAATAATCTATACAAGACTTCCACACTGATGTCAGAATAGAGTCTCTGGGCCACAGAGATGGATTTATGAACACTGGAATGTCTATAATGAGCATTCAGTAAAATGTCTGTTCTAGACCAAGGTGATACTTTTAAAAATGAAGAATAATACAGTATCATTACATGTCAGCAGCAGATAGTGAGAAATGTACCACTGTTTGAAGCAAATCTACTGTCTTTCCTCTTTGGAACTGGGAAGAAGAAATTGATGCTCCCCCCCCAGTTGATGCTAATTTTTTCCTGTGGTGAGAAGCTCCCCTTCTCCCCAAGGTGAATTTGAGCTCCCCAAGGCACCTAGAGGCCTGTATCCTTAACCTCCTGTGTTCTTGGATGGAAATAACTAAAAAGTTTTATTTCACAAGGTTAAAATGGTGGGATCCATCCTAGATCTTCCTATGTTTTCATAGGATCCACTGGTGGCTGGCTGGTAGAACAGATACCTAGTCTAAACTTGTTGCCTACACAACTGAAGGACAATAGGCTCCCCTGCTTACAGAGAGGAGGCTGAAAGGGGTGAGAAGTCCTTCCTGACCATCCTCCATCTCCTGAGCATTTCAGGGTTCTGGGTGACTACCTTGTTCCAAATAATGTCTTTTCCTCCAAAGTGTCTACAAAAAGCTTGGAAAATAGAAGGTGCACCTCAAAGGCAGTTTTTTTCAATTACCTTTCATCCTTTCATCCTGATCAAAACATATTGAACAGTTTTTAAGTAACCCAAGCTCTGAGTATCTTGAAAACAGCAAAAAATCCCTGTTTTATAGGCCTGGTCCAGCAGCTGCCGAGGCAGCTGAAGGTTGTGTTGTCTTCAGCAGGAGTTGGACAGGGTCCATAATAAACAACCTGGGAATTAGCTGAGTGAACGGATTACATTAGGGCAGCCAGACGGGTTTATATCAAGCAAAACAACAAGAGCAGGGTCTACCAGCAGGATGGAAAAGCAACTGGACAAATGAAGTAGTCAGGCTTAGTTTAGAGCAGCACCAGTTTAATACAAACCAAACCAGTAAAATCCCCTGAGTAGCTAGCAGCTACCCACACCCACGTGGGCAGCTATTCCACAGCCCCAGGGACTGCTCACTTTTCAGACCATTAGAGCAGAAAGGGAAGATCTCTGACTAATGTGCAAGCCAGTTGCAGTAGGAATGAGCTGGCAGTAGTGATCTAATCCTTTGCTGCTTTTTAATATCCCAAACATCTGAAAAAGCAAAACTCAGCTTTCACACTTCCAGAGTCTTATGGCAAATGAAGCAGTGAGGTAACATGCAGGCAGTGGCCTTTAAGAGGTAGCCAGAAAGAATGTGTTCCAGTTCAAAAAATGATGCCTTTACAGCTGCACATGGCTGCAGGTGCAACATATTTATCCAAATAATAAAAAAATAGAGAATAGCGGAAAGCACTGCATTGCAAAACATTGCAGTCAGAAAAATCCATGCTCTCCAGGCAGGAGGGAGAGCTAACCTTGCCTGACTTGCAGCAAAGGGTTGAAATTCACAGCCACTGTGATGCCAGGCAACACAGTCAAAACCAATAGGATTATTTCTGAGTCCCCTTGTGATGAATTTGTATCATGTTCTTTGCCCTCTAGATTGTTCCTTATTAATAGTTGGTGTCCTCAGAACTGTAACGGTGGGATTTATTGTGTCCACTCTATCAACACAAAGCAAAATGCTTTTGCAGTCCAAGTACAGAAAATCCTTGAAGACACTTGAAGATGCTTATAATCACTTCATACACTGCTGCCTGCCTCTTCAGGACAGATTAGATTACAGGCAGAGTATAGGGAGCTAAGGGAATCTCAACTAACAATGACAGCAAGAAATGCACAGAATGAAATAAAATTCAACCCAATTTTAGGCATCTTTTCACACTTTATTACCTCTGTAGATCTTTAAAATTTCTAATGAATGATTAAATGTTAAAAATGCAGCAAGTAAACAGTGAATGGCAATCATGGTGGCAAAGTAAAACATTGACAATACTGAGGAACAGATGTTGGCTGTATACAAAACAAAGATAAAGTAAGTGTTTAATGATTATGTTTAATTGCATTTCTACAATTTCTTCCTCTGATACAATGGTGTTACACATAACATACATGAACGGCTTCCTACATGGGACAACATGGTGTACAAAAATATTAAGGTCTTAATTCTGAAGGCAATATTGTTTAGTAAAAAAATGTCCATGTCTTGAAGGGTTAATACTATTTCAACCAACAACCATAGATGATCAGAAAGAAAAACATCACTGCTGTGTTGTTCTATGGAAAGAATCTTTCTTTCTTGGCTATTGCAGGAAACGTCACAGGTACCACACCATACAGCAAACACTTAGAGCTTGCTCTAATCAGGTCTAGGTGAGGAGTTTTTAAGATGAGACTGAAGACAGCTATTTGACAGGCCGTGGCAATTCAGCATCTAAGAGAATAAATAAGTTAAGTAGTGACTGACTCCACACAGACTGACTTTCCTGCCATGCGGTAGGTTGTGTGCAGACAGGACATCAATGCTGTTACACCCTTCTCCTCAAACAGGGAGAGCTGACTGGACAGGGAGGTAATGAACAATTATTCTATCATGTGCTCCTGTCAGCACTTTGCTGCTGCTCATGTACAGCTTTTACCTCGATCTGAAACCTCAGGGTAAGGCAACCATAAGCAACAGCCTTGCAGGAGCTGGGAAGCTGCAGCAGCCAAGAGCATGCAGCTATCCCACAGCTGTGTGAATGCAGTGAAGCATCTAAACATATTTCCTTTTAAGAAATCAAATTTATTTTTTCTGTTGGGGGTTCACTATAATAAGCAAGTGTGTGCAACACATTTCTAACAACACTTTTGCTTTTCAACGTTGAGACCCATCCATTGTCTGGGAAGCTAGCGACCAGGTTAGGAAAGCTAAGGCCCAGTTAGAATTAAATTTGGCTAGGGATGTTAAGGATAACAGCAAGGGATTCTATAGTTACATTGCAAATAAAAGACAGACTAGGGACAACATGGGCCTCTCTGGAAGCTATCCGGAGAACTGGCTACCCTGGATTTGGAGAAGGCTGAGGTTCTGAATGACTTCTTTGCCTGAGTCTTCACTGGCAAAGGCTCTGACTGCACCACCCAAGTCTTGGAAGGCAGATGCAGGGACTGTGAGAATGAAGACCTTGGGCCCACTGCAGGAGAGGATCTGGTTCAAGACCATCTTAAAAACCTGAATGTTCACAAGTCCATGGGACCTGATGAAATCCATCCGCGGGTCCTGAAGGAGCTGGCAAATGAAGTTGCTAAGCCACTGGCCATCATATTTGAAAAATCATGGCAGTCAGGTGAAGTTCCCTACAGTTGGAAAAAGGGAAATATAACCCCCATTTTCAAGAAGGAGAAAATGGATGACCCAGGGAATTACAGACCAGTCAGTCTCACATCTGTGCCTGGAAAAATCTTGGAGCAGATTCTCCTGGAAGGCATGCTAAGGCACATGAAAATCAACAAGGTGCTTGGTGACAGCCAGCATGGCTTCACTAAGGGGAAATCCTGCCTGACCAATGTGGTGGCCTTTTATGTTGGGGCTACAGAACTGATGGACAGGGGTAGAGCAGTTGATGTCATCTACCTGGATTTGTGCAAAGCGTTTGACACTGTCCCACATGACATCCTTGTCTCTAAATTGGAGAGACATCCATTTGATGAGTGGACCACTCGGGGGATAAAGAACTGGCTGGATGGCTGCACACAAAGAGTTGTGGTCAATGGCTCAATGTCCGGGTGGAGACCAGTAATGAGTGGTGTCCCTCAGGGATCAGTGTCAGGACCAGTCTTGTTTAACATCTTCATCGC